TTAGAAACATAATAATAATTCACCACACGTGTATTGGAACCTTCCATCACAGACACTGTGGGTGCTGAAGGGGACTGTGTTGGAGCAGGATGCCGGATCTCACTGCTGTAGCCTCTGGGTCAGTAGAATGTCACGCTGACCTCTCCCTGTGAGAGGCATGCATGAGCCCTGCCTGGGACGATGACTTCTTTCTCATCTGCCTCTTTCTGAACAAGAGCCCCCAGCATGAATCTTAGACCCCATAGTCTGAGCACGTTTCATGCTTTGTTGTTATTTCTTATTTTGACAGATTATTTAGCCTAGCCCTCTGAGATCATTTTGCTTGCTTTAATTTTTTTGTTTGGACCTTGGCTGCCTTAAAAAAACAAACTTTTGTCTCATTGTTTGAGTAATATTTTAGCTTCGTTTATCTCATTAACTTGACTTCCCTTTTACTTTTCATTTAAAAATTAGGACTAGGAAGGGGCAACACAGGAGACATGGTGACAGGCCAGGTCTCACGTCTGAAGATTGGGTGCCAGCATCTTCTCTGGTCTGCTCTGCTTTTCATAACCTCTTTTCATCTTTACAGCAGGACTCATTTGGTCCTTTGGAGAAATTTGGATCCCAAATTCAATTGGTAAAAAAAGGCATAGTCTTCATGCTTAAAAAACAAGCAAAGAACAAACTACCTATCCAGATAATTCAGGGGCTCTAAGGCTCAAATTACCCTGCAGAACCGGAATAAGACAACCCAAAGATAGTGTAATACTGGCAGGTTGCTGGGAGAAAAGCCTTGCCTCGTTCCCAGAAGCTATGAGCCTGACAGGAATTCTGTGAACTGAAGACCTTGCCCTCTGGCATGTATTAGCGCCAGCTGCTGCCCAGTCTGACACCCCAGAAGGCAAAGGGAGAGAGAGTGGGGACCTGCAGTCAGGGAGGGCTGGAGGGAGGCTGGCAGATCTGACCCCAGAGATTTGTGAAGTATTTTGAATGTCTCTTGTTGTTTGTTTGTTTGTTTTTTGATGGTGGTATAATAGAATCTAACCAAGCTATGAAATCCCTTTTATTCTGCTCAATTTATAAGGTATAATTAAATGATCCATTTAAGCCAATGCAGTGAATGAATAGCCTCTTGTGGGCGGGTCTTCACGACTCCCTCCCCTCATCATGAGAACCAGGGAGGTGCTGACTGCTGGAAAGATCTCCATCTGGGTTCCCAAGAAAGGCAGGGCTCTCTTCCTTTGTTAGACTTGCCCTTTTCAAAAGAGAGGGCCTATAATGTCTTCCAATAACCATAGCCTGCGTAGAAGTAAAAAGCCCTGCAGGCTCTAGGGACCTGCCTTTCTTCCTACACCTTCCTCAAGAGAAATGTATTCAATACTCAGGGCTAGTCTTTCACGCATTTACCAAGAACTAAAAAATTAAGCTAAAGAAGAACTAAACATCATTACCGGCAAGCTGGAGGTCCTGTAGGGCAAGAGTGAGTGTAAGTGTGACCTCAGGGGCAAGCACTAACTGATCCTATCTATTACCTTTCTGACCTGGTAACCTTCCAGCCAGTCTCCTATCCTATGTAAGCTCTATTGGGGAGGGGAGAAGCAGATGTGGACTCAGATATATATAAGAATTGAGAATGATAACCAAGGCTGAAGGGGCACCCCCCCACACCCCCCCGCCCCGCCATTTGTGAGAGGGTATTCTCATGGCAGAAGGAAAAGAGCATGAGAATTTCTGTTTGGACAAGATGTCCATCATGTTTGCTTATGAGCCATTGGCCAAAGAAAGTCACAGGGCCTTGCCAGCATTCTTTTCAGCCATTCATCACAGACTTCAGCTTTCAGAGGTGACATGGCGTGGGCAAGCAGATGGATGCCTAACTGAGATCTCTCTGTCTCTTGGAGGAGACTTTGAGAGGCCTAGAGTGCTGAGCAAGCCCCTAACAATGATGCCACTCCTACTATCCACAAAAGGACTCTGTAGGGTGGCCTCACCTTTAATCAGGTGCTTCGCAGTGTCAACCACATGGACATCCATCCTCCTTTTAATGCCTAGTGTGTTAGTCAGCTCAGACTGCCCTAACAGAATTCCTGGGACCAGGGGGCTTAAAGAACAGACTTTTGTTTTCTCGCAGTTCTGGAGGTTTGAAGTCCAAAATCAAGGTGTCGGCAGGGCTGGTTTCTGGTGAGGACTCTTCCCAGCTTACAGACGGGTGTCTTCTTACTGTGTTCTTCCATGGCATTTTCTCTAGTGTCTCTTTCTCTTCCCATAAGGGCACTAGTCCTGTTGGATTAGAATGTACCCTTAGGACCTCACTGAACCTCAGTTACCTCCTTAAAGGCCCCATCTCCAAACACAGTCACTTTGAGAGTTAGAGCTTCAACCTGTGAATATGGGGGGATGCAATCAGTCTGTAGCATACAGTATCCCTGGGATAAGGCAGCTTTCACAGTGTATAATTTAGTGTTCTCAACAAGCCTGCAAGGAAGTTATCAGCATCATCATTTCTACTTTATAGATAAGAAAGATGATATAACTTCTTAGTAAGTGGAGGATCCTGGACTAGAACTGTTTCTTTGATGCCAAATCGCATGTTCTTTGAACTGCAGCACAGAATGTTGGCTTTATAAACACTAGAAATGAAATACTGCATACTTAGTGAATTAATAACTGTAAGGATTATGCAATATATGGAAAACTATTTACAAAATAATGTTAAGTATAAAAATAATTCACAAAAATATATATTCTCTGTGGACACCACTGTGTAAAAACTATGGATAAAAACTATTCATAAAACTTGAAAAGGAACAGAAAAAATGAAGTACTTGGTCTTCAGGGTGGCAGGGTTTTCTTTTTTTTTTTTTTTTTAAGTTGACTTAAGAAATACATTTTTAAATAACAGAATTTTAGCATTGGCAAAGCAAGAGAAGTTGGAAGTCGGTGGAAACAGAGAACACGTGTCCATTTGCCACAGACTTTTTCGGGGCCCAGAGACCTAGGCCAAGTACCAAATTCCATAGTGTTTGACAGGCTTTTCCACTCTGAAAACTCTTTCATCCTCCAGCTTCTCTGATTGAACAATTGCTCTAACTCATTTGATGAGCAAGGCAGGTCCTTGTGAATTGAGAAGGCTAAAGCCAAATACAGTTTGGAAGATGATTAGCTGCCACAGGGGCCGAGCGTTAAAGTTGAGCCACGGTGAGGAAGAAAAGAAAATATCAAATGTAAATGAAGACTCTCCCTCCAAAACTTAGTCCAAGCAGTACAGGACTTAGGCCAGCAGGGCTTAAGGCAAAAGAGGCAAGCGTAAACAGAAAACGTATGTATAATAGGAAGTCTAGAAGATATTTGAAGAGCTTTCTGAAGGCCACAGCCCCACCCCTCTAGGCCGGCCTCCAGGAGCCTCTCTGGCGGGAGTTGTAAGACTCCTAGATGAAGACATGTTTTCAAGTCTATTTAACATTACTGTAGTGAATATATGATTTTAGTACCGTAGTACTTAGTACTATAGTACCTTAGTACTTTCTCCTGGAACAAAGTCATCTGTCTCCTAAAATCATGTCTATTTTGTAAACAGTTTCTGATAATAAAGCGTGGTGTGCATCCCCTCGATTAACAAAGATATTTCAGTGTACCCCTCCCTAGAATAGAGTGCTCTGTTGCCTGAGATCCACATCCAGCTTTCCTATCACAGTGGGTGTTTTTCTTCTAGGCCCAGAAGTTATTCCTTACTCAGATCTCTTTATTTTAGGAGTTAATAGATTTAGATTGTAAAAAAAAAAACAGATTGAAACTGGTAAGCTAAATTAGTCCAGACATTTTATCAGCCCACTCAGGAGAAATAACAGTAATTCCCAAATTCGATATGAGAAAATTCATATGTTTAACAAAGAAAAATGAGCGATCAATGCTTAGCTAAAGGAAGCTCCCTATAAAAACATGTTCTATCAGAGGATTCCTTTCATAGTAAGTGAGCTATTTTATATATGATTTGATTTAGTTAAAATCAAATCTGTTTTCATGTATTTCACAAACACATCTCTGTGTATGCAATGTGCATACGTATATTGCCCCATTATGTGTGATATAATGGTCTAGTCGAGGATTTGTTCTCTGACAACCAAAAATGTTCTATGATGCCATTCTCAAAAATGTTAAGAATATACTCCAAGCACCTATTAACAAAGGATTTTGAATTTACTGATCATGGATTTATTTTGAATTTCTTTATACTTCTTTTTTGTGCTATTTTGGGAACAACGAGTTACATGTTTCCCAATTATATCTAGATCTTGTTTTTTTTCCTCTTCTTAATTCAGGGTACAAACTCAAATGTCTAACAAAATAAGTCAATAAAGTGGTCTACTGTAACCATTAAAAGTGTGAGAGTGGGTGTCCCACTTACAGAGAGCAGCCACTCTCAGCCTATCATTGCCATGTGGGAGAAGTGTGGCCAATTTGTTTTGGTTTTTCATGAGAAACCCCCTAAGTCTGAATTATTTTTCCTGGAATTTTTAAATATTGTCATTTCAATCAAAAATTTAAAAAGACACTGTAGAACAAATAGTTCCCAGTCTATAGATGTCCCATTTTATTTCTGATACTGTGTCTGTATATTTGGACACTGGATACTACAAATATCCAATTTATTTCTGTCTTAAATATTTCTCTTTTACATTTCAAGTGTACTTCCTAGTTTCTAGGATTTGATATATGAATCCATAGTCCTCTGATTCTCCGCCTCCTAACTGTGACAACTTTAAATATATCATTCTTTCAGCTCTCATCTGAACACACTAAAGACTATTTTTAATTATTCTGTAACTATATAGAAATGGCTCTGTATGCTACCTTATTTTATTTACCTTGATTCAGGCACAGTCATATACACATATGGTCATATAGTAAAATGATAAAATCAATCTTTTCCTTTGTTTTTTTGTGTATTAGTTATCGTTCTTGAGGATGAGTGGTAAATTCATGGTCACAGGCTAACTCTTCTTCCCTTCTCTCTGCAGCCTTCATTTCATCAAGCCGATAGTGTGCGGGGAACCCGCCATCACGGGCTGGTGGAGAGGCCATCCAGGACCCGCTTCCACCCCCTTCACCGAAGATCTGGGGACAAGCCTGGACGGCAAATATCCTTTTTCATTGTCTGAGGAGAGTATACGTTTTGAAATGTTTGGAAGGTTTTCAGGATTTATCTTCTGTGCAATTCCTCTTTGCCTTCAACATCCTCATTTTATCTGATGAGTGGAGGTGATCAAAATAAGTAAGTTGGAAACTAGAAACATCTCCGCAGCCAAAAATTGGAAATATCATTGGAGGTGTTTACTTTGTGGAGACATTGATAAAGTTTAGTTTGTATGTTCAGAAGTAACTGAACATAAACAACATGTAATTCAGCCCCATTGCAAGGTGTTCTCAGCTTTTGCTTGAGAAATCAACAAATTCAGAGTTAGATCTGGCTTTGAATTAGCTTTGAGAGATTTAGTCCATCTAGCTAAACACATACACGGATATGTGACTTATTTTTATTTCTGTTGACCTGCTGACCAGCTGTTAAAACTTACAGAAGAAATTTCATATGATTTTCTATTTATGGAGTTTCAAACTCAATAAAATGAAAACTAAAACATAAGGCTGGTATTTAGGAAAATTCTTAGACAGTGATGTACGCTCTTATGCTGTTAGCTAGGAATAAAGAAAAGGAGATGATGAATTCATCTGACGATGTTATTTAACCAGTACTTCTCACTAGGCTGAAGCAGGGTGCACTTCTGGATGGCCAGCATTATGCCAGGGGCTTTAGGGGCATAGAGTGCAGCTAAATTTGTGGGAGAGGACATAGAATAAGCGTGCCACGAGGGCCTGCGCTCTCACTTCTCACACACGGGTGGAGGAAGGCACAGAAAGGCGGGGCAAGTCTAACTACTGAGCTAAATTCCTGGCAGTGATGGCAGAATTGGCTTCAGGAGCCTAGAAACCAGGAAGTGGGGGGAAGGGCATTCATGTTTACCGAGCACCTACCCATGCCAGGCACTATGCTGGGCAGTTTATATGTCATTTAGTCCTTAAAACTCACAGAGTAGTTTGTTTTTTTAATCCCCATTTTCAGTGAGGAAACGGAGTGTTGAAGTTAATTGCCCAAGATTCCACTGCTGAGGTCGGAGGGGCCCAGATCCAGCCAGGTCAAGCGGACTCCTGGCCTAGGCGCCTCCCTTCCCCATACCCCAGTCCACTCAGTCAGTCGTGCCCACGACCACACGCAAGAAAGGCCTGTGGGAGGAGTTATAGGGACGCACAGAGGAAGCTGCTGCTCTTCTTGCCCTCAAGCTTCTTGCAGTTTTTCTTCTATTTGGAGGCAAGGATAATGACCCTGGGGAACATTTATTTCTTCCTCTCTCTTCTGTCCTCAGAGACACAACACATTTGCTCTATTGAGATACCCTGACTCTTAGTTTCGTATAGTATGTGGCTATTATCAGGGAAAGTGACGATGACAGCTGATTTTGAGGAATGTGTAATAACTTTTACATAGAATGCAAAAAAGAAAGGAGAATTGAGTCCATTCTTCAGCTAATTTGCATGTGCGTGGGTAGAATAGTACATCAAACCATTGTCCAAATTGCTTGGAATTTTCAAGCAAAGACTTTGCTTCTTTGCTTGATTTAACAATATATCTTTTCCTGATTTCTCAATTCCCTCTTTCTATGTAGGTGTTCTCTCTAAATATTTTGTATGTGTGTGGGGCGGGGGAATATCTCAGATGCTTTTTGCAGTAAATATAGTGTAAATATATACATATACAGCTTTTAGAACCAAAAAGAGTAACTTGGAAGAGGTGAGGTTGAAGAAAAGCAACAGAGGAATGTTCATTCACTTAACGATTTAAGTATCAGTTTTGTAGACACTATAGATATTATGGCAAACATAATATGGTCCCTGCCCTCAAGTTGCTTACAGCTCAGTGGGAGAGGCAGCTAGGCGCGGAAGTGGTCACAGCACAGTGTACTGAGCTGTAGTTGAGGCATAGCTGTAGTTGTTGTCGTTGAGCTCATGGGAGGGGCAGCCTGAACCAGTCTTGGGGGTACTGAGAAGATGTCCTGGAGGAAAATATGAGGCTTGAAGGATAAGAAAGAAGTAAGAGGATAATGTGTTCATTTATTCAACAGATATTTCCAGATCCTCTTCTCTGTACAAGGCACTTTTCTAAGTACTGGGGACTCCGTGGTGAATAAGACAGACAAATCCCTGCCTTCTTGAGTTTACAGTCCTGTGGGAGATGACGGACAGCAAACAGGTTAAAAAAAGTGTTTAAGGAAAATAATTTCAGATGGTCGTAAGTGATAAAGAGAGAGGAAAGCAGCTGGGAAGGGAATGATCCAGGCAGAGGGAATAGCTTTGCAGAGTTTCAGAAGGGGCCTCTTTATTATAGGAGATAACCTGACCCTACGTGTGGGTCAACTTGTGAGAGCAGCAGCCAAGCAGATCACCTTTGTAGGCTGGCCAATACGGTTGGAGAAAAGTAAAACCCCAGTTAATGTACAGAGAAATGAAAGTCATTCGGCAAATAGTACAGGTCTGATTCACAGATTGTGAGACATCTCTCTGTATTCTCTTCTTAAGCACCAAACTGGATCCTGGCCTGGACATCTGCTAACTCAAAAAAAAAACCTCTTTAACATAGGCCTGCCTGTTAATGAACTGCGAGTCTCTTTTGAGGAGTCAAGAGACCAGGAGCTCCCAGTACAATATAAATGTGGGATGATTTTATGTTGAAGATATTCAGGAGAACCTGGAGGAAGAGGGCTGTGATTCCTTCTTTCCTTTCTTGGCCTGCATTCGTATGATTTTGAAATAATTTGCTTAAAATGGTTGCCTTTCACACTTGTCTGTTACCTCCTTAATGAAGTTTTATCATTTGAAAGTATTAACACTGGTATGAGTCTTTGTTAGAACAAAAAGAAAAAATGTATTTAGAATTCTCTCGTTAACAGCTGTTTCTTGGCCGGGGTCTTATTTTAGAACAGGCAAACTGGCCTAGATGAGGATTCAGCTCTATGATATAGTGATCTCAAATGAAATGAACATTGTTTAACAAATATTTCAGCTTCCTCCCAGAGTAGGCAGCCACAAAAAGCAGAGCTCTGGCTCAGGGAGATTCCTCCTGTGGTGGGCGGCCTTAACCACAGAGCAGGCTGGTGCAGTGGGCTTTGCTATTGGCATGGTGGCCACCGCAAGCAAAGCGCAGGGCGCTTGCTCAGTGGGGCTCTGGCCTGGAGCCGCTCTCAGGGTATAGGAGAGGGGGCCTGGGTTTGAAAACTCACAATAGGAGCTCTTCTTCCTTTCTGCAGCTGCTCCAGTCTCTCGCAGCCCTTCTCATTCCTCATGGGCAGCAATCGTGTATCTCAAACACCATCTTGTTGAATTTCTGATCTAGTAACATAAATTTACAGCAAACGTAAGAGTATCTCAGACCTGTGGGTAACACATTGAAAAAGAAGGGGAAACAATGACAAATGATAGTAAATGCCTTCTTCTATAAGCGATGTGTTTTTAGAAAGACAGGAAAACACGTTTAGAACATTTCTGATTTATATCCCTAAGAAGATTTGAGAGTATACTAAACCTGGGAAAACAGACTGAACACTAAAGAGAGGCCTTGAGACCTGCTGCAGTTAGGAATGGCTTCCCTCTTGGGAATAGATAGGCCTTGCTTTGATTTTTTTTCATTGGATAAGACAAAAATTTTGGACATTGGTCTGTAGAACACTGTTTCTTCAAAATGCATGGCCTGTTACATTTGAGAAGCACTGTGCTTTCCTGTTATTAGGGCTCTGAAAAGCCCTGCAGTTGAGAAACTTCTTATCTTTAAACCAGAGTTTCCAAAATTTATTTGATCACAAAACCCATTATTTACCTAACACCCATTAAAGATTTCCATCTCAGAGAACAAGGAATAAGACCCCAAAAGGTGCCACTTGTATACCTCCCCTAACATTTGACTTTCACATATATTCTAGCAGGACATAGTTGGAGGTAAAAAGGGCAAGAGGAAGTAGAGTGACGGTGAAGACCTAGTTGAGAAATTAGGAAGGAGCCAAATTGTTACCAGTTTTACATATTAAATCTGACCCTGGAACTCACCTTGGTGTGTAGGTTCAATGAGCAGGTTCGTAGTTCTCTTATCCCACTGGCTGCATGGACGGTCACAGGCCTGCCCACACAAACTCTGTCTCTGGTAGAAGAGAAGATGGTGGCCCCCAGGCTAGAGGGCAGTGCCTGCGCCCTGCCCCGGGTGCACTCAGCACAGGGGAACAAGAAGTCTAAAGGAGAGCCCCACTGAGGCAGGCGGCTCTAGACCAAGATCTGGCAGGACTTATTTGGAGCTTCAGTGGCTCAGTGACCCCTCCCTTGGGCAACAGATGTCCTCTTACCAATAGAAGAGCTACTCCCCTTTCTTTGGGGAAGAGTGAGTAAGGACTTTCCCTCTGACACCCCCCAAGTGGGGAAGGGGTACGAGTCCCCTTGTTGATGGACTGAGGCAGGAACATGAGAGGGATTTACCTCTGCGGGACTGTGGAGAGCTGGGGAGAAAGAGAACAGACTGGGTTGACTCCGAGGTTCCCAACTGGAGCATCAAGGTGGGCGGTGTCCTCCGTTAAATATGGTGGACTGTAACATTAACATCAGAAAGGTTAAAACACTAACTTATACCTCAACATCGAAGCAATCAATGTTTTATCATTATTTTCCTATTACACTGCAGCATTCTAATTAGCTTTACTAAATTAGAATGACTTCAAGGATGGCAGTGTGCTGAGACAAGTGGTTCACTTCTGCTTCATGAAATTAAGCTCTCTGACATTCATCAAACTCTGAAAAAAGAGGAAAACAGATAACCGCAGGTTATGCGATTCAGCACCTCCTGCCTAATGGCTCTGCCTACTAAAATACTGATATGTGTCATCTCTCAGAGGGCCTTCTTCTTTATCACCTTTTTCTCTTCTATCTCCTACTGTGGTCTCTTCTAATCTGTACTTCATATAATTAGGCCTGATAGTTCATGTTGAAGAAATGTATCTCTTTCGAAAAATCTTTTTTTTGTATTGACTGAGATTCAGATTAAAAAATGAGATAACTAAACATGACAAACTAATACGCAGAAGGTGAAACTCGTGATCATAATGCTTCTCCTGGCAGAGGAGACCTTTCATACTGACCTGTGGAGCGTTTGATGCTCACACTTCTACAGCCAGAGCCTGCGCACGCCGGGGGTGCCCAGCCCAGCCTCTGCATAGGGCCCATTTCCTCCTGAGCCCAAGCAGATGGCTTCTTTTATAGAGAATCACTGAAGATTTTTTAGTAGGAGAAGATTATGATTTAAAATGTTTTAGAAAACTATTCTTTGATTGTAATGAACTGAATTAACCAAAATGTTGGGCTACTATACTCAGCATGTGTAGTGCAGCATCATGTTTATGCTCACGCATACGGAATATATTTTGAGGCATGCTAGGCCCACCAAAGAATACAGAATTTATAAAATGGAGCCCCTGACAACATAAGGAACTTTACATTTCTCCGCAATCTATTGTAGCCATCTTTTGGTTATAAGTAATAAGAACTCTCTTTAACTTGGAATAGGAAATTTATTGGCTTATGTCACCCAGGGGCTTGATCCAGGGGTTACACAAAAGCACTGAGACTCCGTATCTGCAAGGTGCCACTTCCGTGTTGAGTCATGCATAGACAGGCTTTCATCTCCTGAACTGGGGGAACATTTTTCCTCCCCTCAAAAGCACTCTCTTTGGTCCTGTTTGTATCATGAGCCCATCCCTGAACCAATCACTGTTTCCAGGGGATAGGGTACCGTGACTGGAAATACAGGGTCTGGGTACCTCCCGTGGGACAGGGAGGCCTACCCTGAATGACAACCTTACTAGGTTTGGAGTGGCGGCGGAGGGAGTTCCTAAAAGCAAAAGATGCGAGGCAAGCATAAAAAATAAGAAACACCCACGTGAATCATGCAAAGATGGCACTGGTTAGAAGATAGAGGAATGGACTTTCCAGAGGAAGTTGATAAGAAAGGGCATGGAGGAAGAGCTATTGGGTGTAGAGATGAAGATAAGGGCCAAAAATTCACTTGTTTGTTAACTCTCTACAATTCCAGTGTCTTAATTCTGCTTCACCTTTTCATCACGTTTATTTTTCCTTTATTAAAAATTCTACTTCGACGGTAGTGCTTTTGGAGCCAGTTATTCCTCACAGCCCCTGGATGAGAGTTGGCCAAGGTAAGCAAGCCATATTTTAAAGATACGATGGGCATATGTTATTTTTGGATGCTTTCACTTTATCGACCTTGAATGCTGTTTTAGACGTTTCTAATATAAAGCATAGAATCTTGTTTTCGCTTACAAAACTTGTCTTTTCACATGTAATTGTAGGCTTATATGAAAGTCTAAAATGAAAGTTTAAATCTAGACCTTCATTTTTAAAACCAAATAGAAACACAGTTGGGATACATTTACCAATATAATACTCTGATTTGGCATTCTTATATCTGATACATGGAAAAATAAATGCCTGTCCTTAGGGTGTTTAGTAAGCTACTAAAAGGAACATAAGCTTTAATAAACTCCCCAAGTGGTAATTTGCACAGTGGATTTGACTTAGGGTCTCTGAGTATTTTGGTATATAGAGGATACATAAAAAAAAAAATTAAAAAAAAAAAGCGTTTTTTAGTATAGAGGGGAATGGAATATAAAATTAACTGAAAAGATTGCTACATGCTTTGTGTGGTATCATTTTCAGACCACAAGTCAGATTTAGGAAGCATTTGAAATTAAAAACATTGGGCTCTCTGGATTGAGGTCCACTCTCTGTCCATTCTCTGGGCACATGCTGACCAAGCACTTACTGTGGATGATGTAGGCAGGACCTGGGAAAGGTGGGCATGAAGGTGGGCAATAGCTGGCTCTACCTTAAGTAAGTTTTCAAGTACCCTCATGAATCCTGGGACCCAAGGTTGTAGGATAAGTATAATACCTTCTTTTAAATCATAAAAAGATATCTCTTAACTGATATTTTAAAATTTTGTATCCAAGAAAAAAATGTCTTATGCTTTCCAGGCACTAGGATTAGTTAAATGAATATTTTCATATACTGGGTAACTGTAACAGCTGTATTCCTCTTCATGGCTATCTATATGAGAATGCAAAGTTTTTGCATCCAGGATTGCCACGGCACTCCCTACACACACACTCAAGGTGTGTGATGAGGGGTCATTTGTTACACTTCTGGAGAAATACCTGACATCCCCTAGAGAGGAGTCGATCATGGACTTGAACTATTTCCAAAGGCATTGAAAGGTGCTTGTTTGCCCTCTTTAAAAAAAAAAAAAAAAAAAAAAATTCTTATATGCCCAGCTAGCTAATCCCATTCTCATGGATTTGTAGTTGTTTTTATCATAGAAATCATAGATCAAAGAAGCTGGAGATATCATTTAGTCTGACCTCATTTTAACAGTGATGAGTGAAATGAGCATTTTGAAATGACTTTCCTCAGGTTGTACAGCTAGGTGAGTTGAAGAGGCAATTCTCAAACACAGGTCTGAGTTTTTCCTTTGCTTTCTGTGAATTGAACTTCTTTTCCTCTTTATGTTATTCTGGTTTTTAAAGGCAGCATTCTCCTTGGAAAGAAGAAAAGCATCCTGGGTTCAGGTTGACATCTGCACTTAACAGGTACATGGGTTGTTTCCTAGTAGAAATAACTTTTAAAGAAGACCAGTCCATATGATTTTCCTGATGTTCTTTTTATATTATCCAGTTACCAGATATGTTTATATCAGTTGTGCTTATGTGAAGTATTAAAAACAAACAAACCAAACCTTGCACCATTTATTGAATGTCCACAGGAGACAGCATAGCACAGTGTAAGAACATGAAGTCTGGAGTGAGACTTCATGGTTTGCATCTTACTATGTGACTTTGAACAAATTATTTGACTTCTCTGTGCCTCAGTTTACTCATTTGGAAAAGGGAGATAGTAGTACCTATGTTAAGGGATGGTTGTGAAGATTCAATAAGATAATGCACGGGAAGGGTCAGTATTCAGTACACGTTAGCTATTGTTATGATCACTTTGGGCCAGACTCCAGGGGTAAGTGTTCCACATAGGTCATTTTTTCAAGTCTGGTAGCATCTTATAAGAATGAGGTGGGTTTTTTTTTTTCTGTTCTAAGGGGTTAAATGACTTGTCAAAGCCATTTAGCTAATATGTGATGGAACTGGGATTAAAAAAAATTTTGTATAGTGCAAAATCTTAAACATACACAAAAAAGGAGAAGAGTTATAAGAAGTCCCTGTGCCTATCTTTTAGCCGCGGTCCTTTTCTCCATTCTGCCACTCTGGTTTCTTCTCTAGCCCCTCCTCCCACCCCCATCCCACCACCAGCTAGATATCTCTGACAGTCTTATGAGCTGATAAGAACTTAGAAAAAAAAGACCACATGCTGTTATTACATTTAACAAAATTCACAATAATATTAGCTGATATCCAGTCTGCATTCAAATTTCACTAGGGAGCGCCCTTGTTGCTAGATGGGATGCTGTCTGATTCACGAGTTGCTTAGTAAAGCCATTTAGATCTTCAAAAGAAAAACAAACAAACAAAATTCCCAGTTGTCTCCTTGCATTTGATATTTTCTCTTGGGTCTCTTTAATCTGTAAAGGAGCTGGAATCTGAACCCAGGGCTCTCTGATCCCAGAGTCCATGCTCTTCCTGTTGCAACACACAGGTTCTGACCTGCTTCTCCCCTCATCTGACCACAGCACAGCCGTGGTGTGCACAGTCAGGCCACGCAACTTAATGGCCGCATGAAGCTGTCACCTGGAACAGACCACAAAGAAACATTTTAAGCTGACTTGAAGTCCACAGGTTCCTCTTACGGCAGACAGTTTGATCCTTGGATGAGATAATAATCATCTCTTGGAGTCGAGGCTGTGTATAAATTGGAGCTCTTGGGGGGGATTTTGGAAATAGGCCACAGATCAGAGGTTCCAAAGCTTTTTACCTTAGGGCTCCTTTACCACCTTAACACCCTTGAGGTGCTGAGAGTTTGTTTATATGGGTGTGTCTATTGGTATTTGTCTATTGATATTAGAAATTAAATTGAGAAATTAAAAAAAAAAGATACTTATTAGTGAATTTTATTTATTTTTTAAATTAATTATTTTTTAATTGAAGAAATGATTTAAATTTCCTCCATCTACCTATTAGTGAATTTTAAACAAAATAAAAATAATAAGCCCATTACATGTTAAATAACATTTTTTAAGAAAGATTTGTGATGTATTATGAATTGTACACTTGAAACTAATACAATTTTCTTTACCAATGTCACCCCGATACATTTTAAAAATACAAAAAAAAAGAAAGAAGGGAAGTTATGTTTTTCAAAGCAAAATACTTAGCAAGTGGCATAATGTTATTATACCTTTTACAAATATCTTGAAGGTAGCTGGGTTCTCTGCTTATACATTGTTTTGTGGTGACATCACATGTTACATAGCTACTGGAAAACTCCGCTGTGCTTGCCAGAGAATGAGAGTGAAAAGGCGAAGAACATCTTAGTATCACTTTGAAACTCATCTTGACTTACACTGCCTGAGAGGGTTTGAGAACCGCTGCTGTAGGTGATCCTTCATATAGGAAGAGGAGTTATCAGTGGAGAAAATGAGTGCAGCCACAGAGAATATACTTGTCACAGCACTCTTCTGGGTCGTGAGGAAGAATGGGCAGGTCTTACAGGAAGCTATGAATCTGGGGCCCACCTTGTTAAAATGGATCATTGCACCATCAGCATCAAGGGATAAGATTATACAGGTACAAGTTAAAACCACTTGGGTGTGGGTGAGCCTCAGAGGCTGTCATGGACATCAGCAACTTCAGGTTGGTCCAAACCCCTCATTTTAAGGATTATTATAAATCGATTATCCTTACCTTCTGTTGGTAATTTTCTACAAAGAATATTGCATTTTCACTAAGGAAAAATGGATTTCAACCAGACTGTCTCTTGCCCCCTTAGGACCAATTCTGATTCTGCTCTTCACACCAGTGCTCTGAGCACCAAGCCCCAGGACCCCTATGGAGGAGGGGGCCAGTCGGCCTGGCCGGCCCCATACATGGGTAAGACACACAGGCCCCCCGCCAACAGCGGCTGTGCTTTCTCGTTCTGTCATAGGCGTTTAAATGGTGCATGCCCTTCCCCAGCTCGGTAGTCTTCAGAGGCGACGCGCCTGGCGGGGAGCACGTGTGGATTTATGATGAAACGAGGTCACGTGCTTCATTCCTGCCTCTTCCGTGGCAGAGTCCCCCTCCTTGGCACCTCTCGGCCCTCAAGGTCTCTTCCCTCCCCACCGCAGTCTTCGTTTTCACATGGACACACCATAACTTTCTAACTGGCCTCCTTATTTCCAGTCTTATATTCCTGTAGTCCAGTTTTATGTAGGTTCTCTGAAGATCCTCTTCCCATTCAAAATCTGAACAAACTGAGAAATAAAACCAGAAGCGACAGATGGAACTAAATATCACCTTTATTACTGTCGAGAGGACGTAGCCTCTCTCTGTGGGTCCATGCCTGTTGTCACTGAACCCCAGACTGAGGCCAGTCACCCCAGTGGCTGGCAGTTCTGGCCTAGATTGGCCCCTAGGAGAGGAGTGCTGAGGAGAGTCTGAAGGGCAGGGCCGAGCAGAGAAGGCATGGCCTGACAAGAGGAGGGGGCTGGACTGGAGCTGGGCATCACCTGCTCAGTCGTTCCCCATTTTGCTGGGTATTCCATTGTTCACCTCCCTTGGGCCACAGTGAGTAAAGGGGAGCAGAGAGGCCAGGGGCGAGCAGGAGCTGGGGAAGGGTATAGTCATGCCATCTGCTTCCAGAATAAGCACTCTTCTGGGTCGTGAGGAAGAATGGGCAGGTCTTACAGGAAGCTATGAATCTGGGGCCCACCTTGTTAAAATGGATCTGATCACATTAGTCTCCTGCTTAAAGTCCTCAGCGCCACCCCGTCACCTCCAGGACAGAGTCTGAATCTTTTCAGTCTGGAATGACAGGAGCCTCAGCACTCAGGCCTCCTTCACCTCCCTCCCTTCTCTGCTCACTCACCAGCCTTACTCCCCAAGCCAGCTGTGCGAACCACCTTGGGTTCTACTAATGTTTCATCCTGTACCCGTCTCTTCCTCTCTCAACTCCTTCCTGGCCTACCTGGTCAACACCCTCAGCTTTGTTGCCATTTCTGTGGAGCCATCCTGACCTTCCTCTCTTTGCCAGCCCAGAGCTCCCCATGTTCTTCTAACATCCCAAAGCTCCTACATGCAGATGGCTATTTTGGCACCTGTGTCAGTGCCGAGGAAGGACTGCCTTCCTCATTCCTTGTGTCTGGTGTCGATTTCTCAATGTCAGCCTCTTCATGGTCTTATCCCCAGCACTATGCCTGGCCCGGAGGAGCCCTCAGAGATGGGAAAGTGCGGAGAAACTACACAGTGGCTACGTGTGCAGAGCACCCACTAAAACACGCTAGATGCTAGCATCTAACCTGCACATGAAACAAGGCTGGTTCAGTAAGACACAGTCCGAGCCTGATTTTCTGGGGCTTGTAATTGAGTAAGAACAATGGTTTCAAATTATCCATTCCATATGCCAGTCAATATTCCGGAGGGACTGTTGTCTTTTGGACTGTTGTCCAAATAGGGCTATGTGTTTGGTCTTGAAACAGGTGAAAATCTTTAGCCAACATAACACCAGCTTTTCTGGTTTTCTTTACTTTTTAGACAATTTAAAGCCTAAATAATCTGTTCCTTCTGAGAGAACATTCCTGGTCTTCTTTCCTTGCAAATAGTGGGGATAGGATTTTAATAATAATTGTTGCTCTGTTTGTTCTTTTCATGCAATTCAGAGATGACCACATTTGCCTAAACAGGTGTTTGCTTGTAAAGTATGAGATTTTTAAGAATCCGTTAGGGCGAGATAGCCATGTTTCCACACATGAGAAGAGGAGAAGAAAGGTAGCAGTTATTCTGGAATTAGATATAGGTTTGAGAAGTGGGATGCCTGGGTGATGGAGTCGTTCAGCTTCAGGATAGGTAGAGATGGGACAGTATAAGCAAAGCCTAAAAGAAGCAGAGACTGCGGCCAGCAGGGCCACCTAAGCACACCAAGACCCTCGTCTCCCCTGACTGGGAGGGAACCAGATGGAAAGATTTTTACCCTGAAATGTCCAATAAAGAGCTGCATCTCTGCCTCTGGCGTTCCTTAATTTTCTAGAAAGAGACAAAGGCCTAATGAGAACAAAGAAATCAAAAGTAATTTAAGGAGCTTTTGAGGCTTGCATACAAAGAGAAAAGAAAGTAAGTAAAGCAGTCCAGTGAAGTATATATGCTCAGAGTGATCTAGCTTCTGAGGGAGGAGGTGAGAAACGTCAGAAGGTGTAAGTGAGGACGAATAAGAAAAGCGAAAGAATGAAAACGCTGATTTTGGTAGAGCAATAGGAAAAGCAGGAATAGAAAGAAATTCTCGAGCAGCATTCCGGGTTGAGTTGAGCGAGAATCAGGTGCGCGCTCCTTTTCACATCAGCAGTTAGGAGCTGTTGGGCCACAGTGTCGCACAGCCATGGAAGTTGGGCTGCCCTCCAGCCTGAACGTCTGAACCGCGTGGCTGCTATTGTACGGTTGCCTTGAGAGTGTAGCAGAACTCAGAAACATCCAAATATGGATGTGTTTATATGGGAAGCCAGTGTGTTTAAAATATTATTCAAGTCTCCAAGGATGGGAATTATTTCTGGAGAATTATATTTGCTGGTGGGAGCTATTTTAAATAGTTTCGTGTATTTTCCCCCTGTAATTCATTAAAGTTTTTCATTTTCTTTTCCTTTTGGATTCTAAAAATATCAACTAGCTTTGCAAAAAGGTATTTCTTATTATAGGACCAACCAAATAAAGTAAAGATTAAAAAGTGATGGAAAAATATAATTGGAGCCCAGAATATGGCTCCCCAGCAGAAACAATACTGCCTTTTCCCTGGGAATCTTTCCTGAGCATAATGATGTAGTTTCAATGAATGTTCCCATCATTTTTTGTTGTTGTCGTTGTGAGCAGATGATAAAAGAGCATCTGCTTTTAGCTTAACTACATGAGCAATAAACTTTGATACATTCAGGAATAGAGGTTTGTATCCCAAGAAAATAAAGCCATCATTCTGATACATGTTTAGCAGTTTTCATAGTGGTTATTGAGTTGCATGACAATTAGGCATAAATGATAAGCAGTTGATATAAATGACAGAAATGAACTTTTATACAACCAAACAAGATTTTTATAATTTCTCCTTTTTTAATTATCCAGAATCTATTAAAAAAAATGTTGATCCTTTCCCTGACAGCATATGCAGTTTAATTATTTCACATAGATACATACAGACATTTAAGGGCTCTCTGTGACACTTGCCCTGTCCCAAAGCCTAGGATTGTCCCCTAAATCTCCTCGGCTCATCGCCAGCCTGTGAAGGAGACTGGGATGCTCCCTGTCCTCTCAGAGCAGGCTAGAGCTAAGGGCTGGAGAGTGTGGGATAGTTGTCTTCTCACCCAGAGCTCTAGAAGCTGAGTATGACCAGCTGTGGGGACTGCAGCCCTGAGTTCCTCCTCTGGAACAGGTGTAGTCCAGGATGTCAGTGACCTTTCCACAAGCTCTCCGCTTTGAGCTGCATAGTTAAGGAAGAGTTTTAAAACACTAATAACCCTGAAAGAAGTGAGCCTGTTCATGACACAGATAAGAGGGAGAAGGGGCGAACACAGGCATCCCAAATCACAAAGCGGGGCAAAAGGTGCCACCCGTATGGCAGAGGGGCCCAGAATGGAGGGGCCAAAGCACCAGAGGCTTCTTAAAGGACCCACTCTGGTTAAGGACTACATCTCTTGCTGCCCCTCTGCTCCACGAATCAGGACTGTGCTGGGAGTTATTTTAGATTTGTCAGGCGTGGGACAGGCAAGAGGGAACATGGTCTCGGTTACACTGAGGAGGTCAGCTTGGTGACTCTGAGGCCGCGAGGTTTTCTGGAATACAGATGTGGCCTTGGTCCCTGCTGTCCCATCCCTGGTGGGACTGATGCAAGTAAGTGGCCTCTCTTTCCAGAGATCCAGTCACAGCGTGTTCCTTTTTATTTTTAACCCTTTATTTATAGTTGTGTCCTATGATCTTTTTTATCCAGTAGTAAAAATCCAGGCTTGGATATTTTAGTCATATGTTAGCTTGGTGCTAACATATCAGTTGTCACCATCACCATCTTCTTCTGTTCACCTAAACTCAAAACTTGGGTGTTATCTTTAATACTTATTTCCACACCCAACACTATTCAGTTGGGAAGACCCGTCAGCCTACCCCTGAGGTGCCTCATTTTGCGCTCTCTTTACGTCTTTCCTACTGATACCCCACTTCCTGCCTTTGGCCAGGACTATTCTGTTGCTTTCCACCTGGTCTTCCTGCCTTAAGGCTTTCTTCTTTCAATTCATCTCACATTCTGCTGTGAGAACAATCTCTCTAAAGCTTAATTGAATCATGTCACTGCTCTAACCATGACCTTGTATTCCCTGCATCATGCCAGCTTAGGGCAGCATCATCTCCTTTCTAGCTTGTTCTTGGCCCTTGCTATACACATGTGCTTCCCCTCCCCCTAGCTTTCCTCTCTGTCCCCCTTCTCCTCCTGTCTTCACCCTGGAGCATCCCCTTTAGCTTCACTCTCAAGTGTCTAAATTCTTCCAGATACAGCAAGTTGGGCACTAAAATTAAGTTTTAAGTCATCAACTTAGATTGTTTCAATGAGCCTGAGAGAAATTCCGTGTTGATACGTGTGCTCAATTTATCCTCTTCTTCCTGCTCCTGGGACTCTCGGTGTTGCCCTGCCCCCAGGCTCCACTACAGTTTTGTATGTTCCACCTGTGTTACAGAATTTGCTTCCATGTTCTGTCTTCTCACCTACACTCTGTCACCTGGCCACACCTAGCACTTAGTGCAGGAACTTAATCAGTATATGTTGAATGAATGATTATTCGATACTTAGCTTAAGTTTTATAGACTGATCAGATTAATTTACAGATTAAGCTTACCCAGAAACTTATCTAAACTTGAAGTAAGTGATATTTAAAGGCTTAGAATTTTAAAAAATTGTCCTGCTTTTATACTGAAAACTCATTTATTGTATTTGATTGCTCCAAGGAGAATGGTAACATTGCATTCTTGGCACAAGTCTTTGGTTTTAGCCTATAGAACAGTAGGATATACTACTGTACTTATCATCTGCAATATATTTTATAGATTAAAAATACCTTATTCAGCCAAAATTTATTCAAAAGTCAAATTTTTAAAATTTTGGCAATAGTTATCACATGTACTACTTAAATTGACTGAGACTTTGATGAATTACTTTTTAAAAATAATGACTATTTGCAAGAAATTATATATATTATATATAATACACATACATACAATATATATGTACATATAACACATATATATTACACACACACACACACACAAAACATACAACACAGAACTTCCACTCTCTTCCTCTGGGCATTTACAGTAAGTGTGCAGCAGTGAAATAGACTTTTGGAGTTATCTGCCCTTCTCCTGTGAGAAGTGGAACAGAGTTTCAGTCTTTAAATATCTACATTTCTTTACTTTGTGATCTGAATATTGGTTCTCAGACTTTGTAAATTGTTCTTCTTTCAGGACAAAGGCAATAAAAAATTTTAAGAGTGAAATAATTTTAAAGGAGAAGAAAAGTAGATAGGACTGAACTTTGGACTTAAATTAGCATGTCTATCTTAATTTTAGCATAAACGCTAATGTACCTTAGATGAATATCAATGTACCGAAATTGTTGGAATTTTCAAAATTTTATTTCAAATCCAAAAGAGTTACTAATTTATGAATAAATAAAAGTGAAAGCATCAGATAAAGCATTTTTTTTCTTTCTCACCAGGTTTCTGTGATGGTGAGAACAACGGACATGGGGAAGGTATGAATTAATTTCACCGCTGTACAGGGTGTGACTCTGATGGTAGTTTATATAACCTCCTTTCAACATCTAAACTAATTAATGCTCATGTTTTCAGGACTTCTCAAAATGCTGACATCTGCAGATTAGTTTACCTTTCTGAGATGCCCTGTAAAATTAGGGCTAGCCATGACCAAGGCCACAAGAAAAGTGTATGGTTAGATTACAAAGGCTCTTCATCGAGTCCCCACACAGTCCCACAGTCATAAGGTTGTGCAGGGAGGCAAACGTTGTAATCACACAAAAATATTAATGAATTGATCACTTAAACCAGGAGTCTCCAACACCAGAGGGTGGGGAACTGGTACTGGTCCGTGGCCTGTTAGGAACTGGGCCACACAGCAGGAGGTGAGTGGTGAGCCAGCGAAGCTTCATCTGTATCTGCAGCTGCTCCCCAGTGCCAGCATCACCACCTCAGCTCCACCTCAGATCATCAGGCACTAGATTCTCATGAGTGTACTGTTCTCTGGTGCCAAAAAAGTTGGAGACTACTGACTTAAACCATTAGTTATTCCAATATCCCTCCCTCCTCAGCTGTCTGTCTGTGCCCACTTAGAAAGTTGTAATTGACAGATATAAATAAGCAATGTGAGGAAAATGCAAATTGATTGTAAAATGAAATTGCAGATCTTGCAGAAGATACTGAGTTTTATGAAACCAATTAATATTGTAGATCTATTGAAATGACAGTCAAAGCCATTGACGGATAAGAGTCTGACACAGTTCATTTATTCATTCAGTACCAGGCACTGTTTTCTTTTCCTTAAATCTTTATAATCTGAAATTTAATTTTCACAGTCTGAAAGTGAACAACTACATTAGGTTTATATATCACACACATAAAGACCCATGGGGAGTACGACATATGAGGAGCATCTTGTACCAGAGACACAATTCTCTGTCCTATATACTCCTTTTCTGGGCAAGCTGTTTTAGGCCATGAATAAATCATGAGAAGTTGAAACATCAATAAAAGTCTAATAGGACAGAAATTTTAAAATGGCTTCAGTGTTCTTTGCATTCCCCCAATCAATTCTTTGAAGAATTCCCAACAAATCTTTGATATGAAAAGAGACCAAAAACAATGAACTTCTGTAAAGAAGCAATCCTCTTTGGGGCCTTGGCATCCGCCCCCACCATATTCTTGTGATAAATGTTTTATAGGAAGTGGCCTTTAGTCATGAAGCTACCTAACTCAGCCCTTTTTTTCTATCATCCAATTGTACCTTAAAGAGCAGTAAAAAAAAAAAAGTAATTTTTAAATTCCTGAGTGTCTTGTTATATTGCTTTATACAGACTCTCACACCTATTATTCTTGCCCTCTAGTTTGAGAGTCGGCTGTAGGGCCAGTGTTTACCTGGCACTGTTCTTAGCACTCCCCAGCGGTGAATAAAATAAAGGCCCTGCTTGTCCTTATAGAGTTCACATTTCTGAAGCAGTTTATATTAACAGTCAGACCAGATAACAGTTGAAGAAAATCACACAAGGATGTTGGCAAAATAAGTTCTTCAAAAGAGAGTGATTTGAATATCATGATTAAGAGAGAGATCTGGGAGCAGTGATCTGGAATGCTTGAGTAGGGATGACAGCTGTTGTGATGATGGTTCAAGGAGGTTAACTGGAAAGATGTCGCATCGTACTCTGTTACGGTGCTGCTAGGGAAATTATACCCCCACCCGTCCTTTATATATTTCACCAATGCATTTAAATCCTAAATTTTATCAAATGTAAGATAAACTTATTTTAGAGTTTTTTTTCAATTTTCAAACCTTTTTATCAGAATTTACGCTGATATTTTGATCCCTGTTTTAAGTGACTTCTTTCTGGGGTCTGTTATCCTCGGGTGTCCTGTGTGGAGCTAAAACAGGAAATTGTGACCATCAAACCAGGGCTTAGTGGTCACCAAAGCCTAACTACGTTTGTAGTTCTGAGCAGTCACCAGTCTCTAATGTTGAATTTCATTCCTGGCATCGGATCCCTTAATTTCTGAGGGCTGACCCTTGTCTTCTGGTCTCTCTCTGAGAACAAGTTTTCCCTTGTCTTGTGCTCCACATTCCTGTCTTACCTGGCGTGACTGAGAACATTAAAGCAGAAAGCCCTCGAATGGTCCTTTTGGCATAGAGCTAAGTTGTTTTACAGCATTGAAGAATCAGTAGGGGTCGCTTCAGCTGCGCAGCCTCAAATCCTCTGGGGTCTTGATCCCTCTTTATCCCCCGCTCCGCGTTAGCATGTAGCTTCACAGCCGCCATTCTCACATGCAATATACTGCTTCTGTCTTTGCTGTTTTCCCCATTCCACCTTTCCTAGATTATGGTGGGTCTCTCTTCATCCCTCTCCTTTCATTCTCTTTTTGCCAGATTTGCAGGCCCTCCCTGATCTGTCCTTGACCTTCCAAACTTTATTTCCTACAATCTCCTCGGCTTACCCTATTACACTCCAGTTGAAAAGAGCAGCTTTACTCAGCAGTAGTCCGCTAATTCCTCTCTCATCTTTAGTTTATGTTTCTTCCTCTGGGAATGCCCTTTTCCTGTACCTCTAAAGGGTTTCCTTGGTGCCCAGCTCCAGAGGCCAGCCATGGCCTCTTCCTTCTCCGCACTTGAGCAGCACCGTTAGTTCTCACAGGCCTCCACTCGTTTCTCCTTTCAGTCATAGGTATTCACGTGTTGCCCTTTTCTCCTGACTAGGTTATTAATTCGCTAAAGGCTGAGTCCATGTCTTATTCATCTCTGCAACTGTCACAGTAATACTCAAAACGCCTTCCCTAGTAAACAGTCAATAAATATTTGTGAAATCAATCTTTTTTTTTTTTTTTTTTAAATAAAATTTGTTTGGCCAAAGGGGAGATGGCCGCCATGTAATGCAATGAATGTGCTTTTTTCCCTCCCTTTTAGTGGTTTCTTTTCCTGGCCCATTGAAAGAAGAGAATCTGTTACCTGTCCCCAAGCCACTGCCAAAACAACTGTGGGAGACCAAGGAGGTGAGTGAACAGAACTCAACTGTTTTTATTGTCACTGAATATTTGTACTTCACGGGTCATTGTAAAATCCTTCAGAGGAGAAAACGAGGAATTGGGAAAAAAGGAAGAGAAGATTTGTCTGGAGATGGAGATAGGAAGAATATACCGGGGAATGATGGTTCAAATAAAAAATATCACGTCGTGTGATGAATTAGTACAGTGATTTCCTGGTTTCCTAATTTACATGTTGAATTGACTCATTCAGGAAAACCTGTTAGTCCCCCATATCTCATTCGTATTACTGAAAGCACTGAAGCCTTGTTACAAGTCATAGGCAGACTCTTCTGTTTTGTAGCCAGTATCTTCTACCAGTCACCAGCTTCTATTCAGAATTGCAGATTCACCAGATATCCCCATTTTTTGTCAAGGGCATTTGACCTGAGTCCTCAGGGAGTCGGTAAGCAAGTCATCTGTTTTATGATTTCCGTGATCCTTTGAGTATTTGTGCCCACAGTTGTGCTAGCTGACCTCCACCGTTCTCTCACTGTGGAAGAGGGAGATGCCCCATGGTGCTTGACTCTGCCCTTCTTCCCACAGGAAGCTGTGTTGCCTTTGAAAAAAAAAAAACTTCGTCGTCCCAGTCCTTGGTGATGCTCTGTTGCAACTGCTTGTATTGTCTCCATACTTGATTACCCCGTTGGTTTAGGCTTCCTATGGTCCAGTTCCATTTTTCTGCCATGCCCACCAAGGTCATTGTTAGCATTATGGTGGCCTTGAAAGATCTTTTGTAAAAGCAAGACCATTCGATGCTTCATCTTTGGTGGGGGGTGTATGTGATATGATTTAAAATTCACATCCTTAAACATAGAAGCAGGAGCTACACTTTGCCCTTTTGGCTGTGGGAGGCACAAGTGGTTTTAGAGGCTTTTATCAGCACAATTATATCTTCCCCAGCAAAGGTGGCAGTGGCACCCACCCTTCCAGGGTCTGTTCTCTCTGGGAGTAGGTGCTCATCTTCCTTAGTTCTTCAGGATTTGCTGTCCTCCATAAATGATTTCTGGGAGAAGAAGTGAGTCAGTAGGTTCATTCATGTTTTACAACATACATTATATTTGTTGAGTACCCTTTGCCAGGTGTTCTACATTCAGGGATTCTGCAATAAACAAGATAAAAATTCCTGCCTCCTACCCCTCTTGGAGCTTATTTTGTAGTTGAAATATTTATTTTCTTCTGACATTAAATTTCTTCTTTCTTCACTCTGTTTTGTTTTTTGTTTTCATCTTTTTCTTTCAGGCCAATTGGAAAAGGAATGTTTATTTAAAAGCTCTATATGTAAAACATTGGCCTTTTTGAAGGAAATAATATTCATCTAGAACATAAATGAATGAAGCATCAAATTAAGAAAATTTATTAGTATTAGCTCTCCCTTATGCCTGAAAAGTCTAGGCAAAACTTAAATGGCTGCTCTGTGAGGGTGCTATTTACATCTGCTGACTCGCTTGCACTGACTGGAGCCCCAAGATACTTACAAAGATACTTTTAAAAACTTGAATTTGGCTTTACAGTGAGTAAGGCCAGCTTTCTGTCTCTCCCCAGATTCAGTCTCTGTCGGGGCGCCCTCGATCATGCGATGTCGCAGGTGGCAAGTAAGTAGTTTTCTTTCTGTTCATGGCTCAGAGGCTGTCTTGAAGGTTTTTCCGATAGAAAAGTCCTGCTACTTTGTCATAGAGCTCTGAGAAACTTCACTTGTTATGTATAAATTGAAAGTCAACTGATTTTTCATAAAAGCAGCAGCTCTTTGGATACTCATGTTTCATTTATTTAAAGTAATTATATTATATAACTGCAATAATAAAGCTACCGTAAATATATTTGAAAATAACACACTTCATGCTTGATAAACACACAACTCAAAACAGCTGCGTGCAGGTGTCGAGAGGAACCTGCCAGCCTCACACCTCTGGCAGAAGACCACCAGCACACCTAGCAGTGTAGGAGTATTTAGTCTTGAGTCTTCCTTAGAGCTTGTCCACGCCTCAACCCTCTGTGGCCTGGCCTCCATTCCTACTGTTCCAAATGGAACTGTCCTCAAGAGAGATTCCTATGATGTGTCTTCCTGTACTATAGAAACTTAGTATCTAAAATAGAATTCATTACATTATTCATACCCAGCCTTATCCCTAATCCACTCGTATACCTCAGTGTCCCTATCTTAGCAGGTGGCTCCACCAGCCTCATGCCAGAAAATCAGGAGTCAGTCTTGAGTACTTCCTTAAATATCTCTAGAATCCATCCTGTCTCTCCATCGCCATGCTCTCATTATGTCTTATTTGACTTTTCAGCAGAGTCATAACTCACCTTTCCTCCTGCAGGCTCTGTTCCTTGCACCCTGGTCTCCACTCCCCCAACTCTATTAGACACACTGTACTAAGAATGGCCGAGGATGTCTTTCCCCTGCTTTTAGTCTTCCGCTGGCTTCTTGCTCTCAGCATATCAGTCTAGGCCTCATGTGCTCTCTGCTTTCTTCTCCAGGCCCATCTCCCATCACCACCCACCCCTCCTAAACGTGACCTTCCTCTGGTGTCTGAGTTCCGAGGACACACTCTGTGGCCTCACATTTCCTGCTTTGCCCATGCTGTGAACTCTGCCTGAAATGATATTACTGCTAAATCTTCTGAACTTCATAGCCTTCAAACTCAGCTCAGATGGCTTCCAGGAAGCCCCCTCCAGCCTGCTGCTGGTAGTTTCCTCCACACCTCATACTGCCAGGCTCTGTCATCGTACTACTGAATTCGATTACATTCCGAGTTATTTTCTTTCTGACTCTATCTCCATGCTTTGTCCAAGTCTTTAGAGGCCCTGATGCCAGTGGCTGGCACTTGAGAAGTACACTACTGCTACATGCTGTATTGAGCAAGTGTCCCCATTTGAATTCATTCCCTTCCCCTTGTTTCTGGTGAATGGCACCTTCCTCCAGCATTGTCCTCCTCTTCAACCTCTCTTTTCCTAGATCAGACCTGGACCACAGCGTAGCTTCTAACCGGTTCTCCCTGCTCTCTTTCTGCTGCCTTAAGCCATCCTCTACTCTGTAAGCACAGCAGCATTTCTCAAATATCATTCCCCAGCTTAAACCTGGGCTCCCTATTTCTTGTAGTCCCTAATCCAGACTCTCACCCTTGTTTTCTCATTCACCTGTCTCCCACCTCATCGCCTGCTACCTCTGCTTCCCTGCTTTGCCGAACACCAGACACCACGGCTGCGCCAAGCTGCTTGCAGTTGTGTGAGTGCGCCGTCATGTCATTTGTAAAGCCCATGCTTCCCTAGCCCATCTTCCCATTGATGTTCCCAGTGTTGCTTGTTCTTAATGGCTATCCCACCCTCTGTTGAAGCCAACCCAGCCTGCTTCTTACTGTATTGCAATTGCTTACTTTACCAGTCTGTCTCTCCTGCCTGCCTGTGAACTTCAAGAGCAGTGCCCCTCAGACCTGGGCTAGGAAACCCCTTCTTGGGCCTCACACTTCAGAGCGCCCCACTCCCATGGGGTAGAGAGCACAAGAGCCACAAGGGAACACACCACCTGGCGTGAGGGGTGGCCAAGGGGCATGCAGAGCATTGCCAGAGCTTGGCCCATAAGTGGGGATAGCCATGCGCGTGCCCTGCGGTTCTGACCAGGGCCGGGGTAGGACAAGAAGTTGGGGTGGACTGAGGACTGGGGCCGCCTCCATGTGCTCTAGCATAGAACTCCGAGGAGTCAGAATGCTCAATTTGAATTCTAAATTTTGACCTAGGCTATTCTGAACATGTAATTTGTCAAGACAGAAACATCGAACATAGTTCATTTAAGGATTTGCTCCTTTGATTTATAACTTTAAAAAATGTAAACAGATGGTATGCGGGTCTCCATTTGTGCTCTGGCTGCAGACCTGTACATGTTAAAGATAGGCCTGACCACGAATACACACACTGCCTGTTCATCATCAAACCTCCACACTTAGCCTGGTGCCTGGCACAGAGCGACTAAACAATAGATTTTGATGAATGGATGGTAGCACCTCTTTCTCATCTTAAAGTATGTGACAACTGTAATTGAAAAACTATATCTTGGAAGATATCTGGTTAATACAGAGATACTTTGTTTTTTTGCAGGAAAGGTAATTTAGAAATTCACCAAACAGAACCATGTAAATACACAGCAGTGTCTCACATGTTATATAATGCTTTATAATTTTTAAAGTGCTTTTGTATCAGTTATTAATCTTGTCTTGGAAAATATTCCTGTAAAGTGGGGATAGGTGACATCTTCAGTCCAACTTAACAGGTAAGAAAATGGCACTTCAGAGAGAGTAAGCCAGGGACGTGGAAGAGGCAGAGCCTGCATGAGGATGGGCTCTTTGATGCCCTCTGCTTTTTTCTGACAAGGAAAAGTACCGTACATGTCCTAGTCTCTAAAGCCTAATGATTTTGGAAGTAATACTTACCTTTCCTTTTTCAGCACTTTTCCACACAACGGTCAAAACATAGGCCTCTCGCCCTTCCTGGGGGCCCTGAACACTGGGGGGTCACTGCCAGATCTGACCAACCTCCACTACTCAGCGCCCCTGCCAGCCTCCCTGGACGCTGCTGACCATGTCTTCGGCAGTATGAGTGTGGGGAGCAGTATGGGCAACCTGCCTGCTGCGGTGACACACCTGGGCATCAGAAGCTCCTCTGGTAAGTGCCCCCGCTCTGTGAGGGTCTCGCCTGTGTCCTCTGTTGGCTTAATCATCCGTGGTCCCTGGCCAGGAGCCCTGTTTGTGGATCCTGGAGGCAGAGTGACTGCATCTCAGTTAGAGACAATGATGTAGCTGTTCTTGTAGCTCTTGACCCTGGTGACGTTTTGCTTGGGCGACTCTCTTTCTTCTCGGCTCTGCTGAGCTCTAGAGCAGCTCTGCTAACCCTCCTCCTTTATCGTCATCACCAGCGTGTGTGTCTCGGGGACTTGGAGAGTTTGAGAGTCAAGAGATATGTGTCCATTCTATTTTATGTTGGCCAAACAATGTTAGTGGCTCTTACCAACACGTGATGATATTTAACACAGATATTGCTCTACATCCCTTCAATTTCCCATTGGATTTCAAAAGAAAATACTTTGAATTTTAGAAAATTTACAGTGGATCGGGTGATAATATTTATACTTAATAGTTATGTGTATTAAACAGAAAGTTACCAAAGTTCAAAATTTTGGGTCATATTTTCAGAAGTGCTAAATATGTGGCATGTAGCTATATTAAAATGCCACCCAGAATATGACTTGGGTGTTACTGTACGAGTTTGAGTGTCTGCAGCTCAGACCTCAGATGACTATATTTGCTTCAGTTATGACAGATGCTCTTGTAAGTATCTAGGTCAGATGTCACTTCCTCCGACTCCCAGAGGTGCAGTACAGACCCTGGCAAGTAACGGTCCTAAGAATTATAGTTACTTTGGAAGGGATCTTGGGTTATGGTCTGTCTTTCTGTCAGTGGGGAAAGTGCTTGTGGGTTTCCACTCTGGGTTCAGCGTGACTTGTCCACATAAATCGGAACTCACCACTCAGATGAGAGTGGTCCCCTTCCGAGTCATCACCTGGAAGCTTCTCTAAGGATTGCAGTGATGCTGCCATTGGCATTTTAATATAGCTACATGCCACATATTTAGCACTTCTGCCATTGTGCAGCATCACTGCAATCCTTATATCTAATTCTTTGATATTAGACCTCTTCCCTAACTATAATTTTAGATTTGAAGAAATTATTTCAGTGCCACATTCGTTTTTGGTTCTTTTGGTCATTTTATTATCCTGCTGCTTTACTTATGTGACTGCGGTCAGTTCTCTATAAACAAAGACATCCAAGGTCACGTAAGTAAAGCTGCATCGGCACTTGGCTTCCTTGGATCTTGGGGAAGCTGGCATTCTCCAGGACAGCCTCTGACACTTCACTTCAGCTGAAAAGTCCGTGTTTAATTACTGGCTCTTATTTTCCTCACACAAGCATTATTTTGTCCAGAACATGTCAGAACCTATGTCAGGTTTTTATAGTTCCTAGACACGAAACTCAAAATGCATGGTGCACAAAGTTGTACATAGTTCTTTAGAGATGTTTGTGCTTTTTTTCTGAATGAGTCAGGTTTATTTTATTGAAATTCATATATTTCGCTCTAATTCTAATTCTAATTCTTATTGGAGCCAGCCGAATCTCTGACCTTTACAGAGAGTTCAATGGTGGAATAACTACTTGAGGTTTTATCAGAGATGTCCTTCCTACCTTTTAAAAGTCATTTGCCAACTAGAAATGCCTTATTTTGTCATTTCTTCATTTCTGTCATTTTCTCCTAACACTTGATTTTTAATCAACATGTAACAATACATAGTTCTGCTCATCCTAACTGCAGGTCCAAGAATGACGGGCTGAATTTGAAACATGAGTATTGCCAGCTGAGATACACAGCAGCAGCAGCAGCAGCAGCAATGTAGCGAAGCCACTCCATGCCAGGCCCTGTGCCAGGTGCCAAGGATCCAACAGGGCATAGGACAGGGTCCCTGGCCTCCTCAGACTGATGCCCTAGCAACCTGTGTCATGAAAAATGCCTTTCCCAAACTCTTGCTCGTGCTAAAATTCACTACCCTCCTGCCAAAATAAAACTAAGCACCAGTAAAAGCTTCCTTTTCCCTGAATTGGAATAGACTGTGATGAACAATTTCTTAAGAGCCAGAAAAACAAAGAGAAAGGAACCGTGGGGCAGGAGATCTGGAGAGTGTCCCTTCTCATGACTCTCTGATGTGCTCAGGGTATTTGAAGGGTCCACTGAGGCGGCTCCCTGAAAGCCCACCTCTCAGTAAAAGGGTGCTCTCCAAAGTCAGCAGTGCACCCGGCACAGAGGCATCAGGGCTTTTAGCAGACTTCGTAGTACAGCCTTGGGTCCTTGCCCTGGGTTGGAGCTGAGCACACTCACACATTCTCCTCCGCTACCCACGGCTTGCCTCGCCCTGTTCTCCCAGTGGTGGCTTATACAACCTCTTTCTTCAACAAAAACCATTCTTTTGCTGGCATCTTCTTGCCATTGGTACCTCTGATACATTTCAGTAGGAGAGCTGCCCAAGAGCTCCTTCACATACAGGATCCTCATCAAATACGGATCATAGGAAGTTACGTTTTCTTTAATCTTTGGAAAACAAGCGATTCATCTGAAATTGTGACAAGTAACTTGTGAATTTGTTGTCTTCTAGGTCTCCAGAGTTCCCGGAGTAACCCCTCTATCCAGGCCACGCTCAATAAGACAGCGCTTTCGTCTTCCTTCAACAGCCACCCACAGACGTCTGCCTCCAACGCCTCCGCTCTTCACCCTTCACTCCGGCTCTTTTCCCTCAGCAACCCCTCACTGCCCACCACACACCTCAGCGGCCCCTCTCGGCGCAGGCAGCCTCCCGTCAGCCCTCTCACGCTTTCCCCTGGTCCTGAAGCGCACCAGGGTTTCAGCAGACAGCTCTCCTCGACCAGCCCACTGAACCCCTACCCTGCCTCACAGGTAAAAAGAAACTACGATGAAACAAACTGAAGAATACATTGCTTTCCTTCTTCGTGATTTTGGATTGAGTCCCTTACACCAAGCGTTGTCCATGAGGTCTCAAATGCAGTCAGTTCCCACTCTTATGTGAAATCTGAGAGAGCAGAAATGTGAATAATTCGGAATGCATTGACGATTTTCTAAGAGCAGATTTGTTGTGTTGATTATTCCTAAGCAAACGTCGAAGTTTGCTGTCACTGTAACTCTTGAAATTGGGGTTGGGGCAATGGGTAAGCTGTAGAAGACACAATCCAGATGTGCCTATATTAGCTAAGGGAAACCCGGCTGGGATTTTAAAATCAGTGTGGAAAATCAGTTGGCTCTCTAAGTACTTCAAACCACAAGGGAAAGCTACAGAAGACGTTTAATACCTTCCTGAAGCTTTGATATTAGACCTCTTCCCTAACTACAACTACAGATTTGGGAAACAAGACTTTTACTGTTCTTGAAATACTAGGTGTAATAAGGATCATATCACTATGAAAGAACCCAAAGAAGTCTGTTTAGAAAGAGGCTGAAGTCCCAAGCCTGTTACAGAAATTCAGGGGTTGGAGTGTCATATTTTGACTTGTAGACTTTGTTTTTCTTCTAAGCACTTAGGGCGGTTCTCCTTACCAAAATCATCAATGAATATATTTTTAACCTGTTTGTTACTCCTTAGATACATTATAACGTCATTTACTCACCGCTTGTCCATAAATGAGTAATGATTTAACAAGGAGTGGACAGAACACAACGGAAGCTTTAGCAGATCCAGCTATTAGTCATTCTTTACGAATTACTGGCTACGGGATCTTGATTGTATGAGTAATCCGTTTTGGGAGGGGATAGCAGGGTATTTCATAATTGTTTTTTTAATGGTTCTGTTTATGTTATTGGATTGCCTTTGATTTTATTTTGCAAGATTATTTGATAGGATATAAAAAGTATTACTCTGCCTTCCTGGATACATTTTAAGGAGACCTTATGGATAGAACACATCCTCTTTCAAATGTTTTCCTTTTTTTGTTTACTTAATAATTAGATTTAAAAAAATAAATGTTATTCATACACAGAGTTTAAAAAGTCAGGTAGTGGTAAAGGACTTGTTATGAAGTTGCAGTTGTTTCCCCTCCCTCACTAACCATATTTCTCACTCCCTAGAGATGGCTACTTTCCACCATTTTAGCTAGTCTCTTTGGTATAACCATGTTATTTCATGCTTATTTTGTTCTAGATTTTTAGCATTAGGTATTGTCTGATGACATCCTACCGTGGAAGATGAGGGTTTAGTTCTCTTCCAGCTCTCCCGGCCCTTCCATATACACATACACATATTTCCTTCTCATCCTCCTCATTCTTCACAATGAAGTTTGTTATAATTTTGATTAGAGTGGTACTCAGAGTTCATTGTTTTCATAGTTATAATAATATATTCAGAATTTAACAATATAATAGATTATGAAATAACAAAATAAACATTTTTTTCTTCCTGGGAGTTAATAAATATCATAATGTTTTTTAGCCTGGTTTTCTATATATGTATTACTAATTCAGCCCAAATTCTCAGACTCGAGTTGATCTCCTCTCCATAGAGCTGAAAACAAATCCTCCAATAACTTTACAAGAAAGAATACGTGGCGTGATTTAAAGATGTCTTCATTCTCCCCACCATGTCATTAATAATTGGCTGGATATAGAAAACTAAATTTGAAATCATTTTCTCTTGAGATATTGAAGTTATTAATCCTTTGCCTTTAAGTTTCTAGAGCTGCTGTTGAGAAATCCAGTTTCATTCTGACTCCTAATACTTTGAACGAACTCTCCCTTTTTTCCCCTCTAGAGGCTTGTAGGGTCTTCTTATTGTCCCCAGTTTTATGAAACTTCAAGATAATGTGGTTTGACAGGAATCTGGATATTTGGTAGATTTCTTCAATCTGGAAACTCATATCTTACATTTCTGGGAAAATTTCTTTAATTATTTCTTTGATGATTTCTTTCGCCGAGAGCTGACTGAGTTGGGAAAGAAAGGTAGAGGGCTCAAGTTCAATACTGTATTTTCAGTAGAGTGTCTCACCTGCAAGGGTTGGGTATGCATTGTCCAGAGACCTTTTGTTGTCCTCTCTGCAGAGTAGAACACTCCATCTCTGGGCAGGCAAGGGCTCCAAAGCCCAGCTGCTTTTCACGTCCTTTGACAACATCCTCCTGGTTCGACTGCATCTTCACCCCCTACTGCCCGCTCGGTTTCTCCACTGCTAGTTAGCATTTGGCCTTCTCAGCTCTGCCAAGCCAGTCACTACTTCTCCATCTGCTTTTCATTTTCCAGATTTTGTTGCCATTTCCTTCACTTCCACTATCTTTGTCCTTGTCTTGTTTATTATCATTTTATCATTATTTAGTGTCGTTTATGAATGTTTACTGTTGTTTAATGTCGTTTTGGTGTTTTTAGTAGAGTTTTGGGAGACAGTAGAGCTAAATGTTTTTTTTCAGTCTTCCATCTTTAATCAGGAGTTTCGGCTTAAAAAAAAAAAGAAACATGGTTTTTACTGAGGAAACTGATGCAGTTGGCTGGGTTTTTTTTGTTTTTTGTTTTTATTTTTTAAGACAATAGAAATTGTCATTGAATGGGAAATGCTTTGAGAGGAAGTGAGATTTGAGAAATACTTTGAAGGAACAGAAATAGGCTTCTCAGAGCGCAGCCTAGAATGCCATGGCGAAGTAGATCTCAGGCTCTTTCCTCACCATGACATTTCCTAATCGTAAAGGACTTACTACTACAAACTCAGAAGCTAAGCTAATTAGTGGCTTATTTTTGTTTGTTTTACAGATGGTGTCATCAGATGGAAGCCCACTTTCCTTCCTGTCTGCAGAAGCTCAAGCTCAAGCGTCCCCGCCGCCCCCTTACCCCACACCTCAGGAACTCCCCCAGCCTCTTCTACAGCAGCCTCGCACCCAGGAGTCCACTGTTCAGCAGCCACAGGCAGCCTCATCACTGCCACAGTCAGACTTCCAGCTCTTCACAGCCCAGGTGCGTCCTAGCAGGAACACTGCTCAAGAGGGAATGATTATTTTGTCTTGAGTTCCAAGCTGAATGGTCCCCTTCTTATTCCCTGAAGGGCTCATCTTTGACCAGCTTCTTCCCGGATATGAGCTTCGACCAGCAGTCCATGAGGCCAGGGCCAGCCTTTACTCAACAGGTGAGTGATCGCCCGGACCCGCCCCTTCTCAGAGCAAGAACTGTTGTTCAGTGTGCAGAACCCACACCAAACAGACTGGATACTCCAGTTTTCTGAACTCGGATGTGCTTGACAGCTAGGTGAACCTAAAATCTCTTCTAGCCCTAAAATACTGCTGCTGGCTGCTTTATTTACTGTCAGGCCTCAGCACAGGAAGAAGTCACAGAAGACTTAAAATGACACTCTAGTCATAGAATTGTAGAATTGTTCATACTGGAAGGGGCCATGGCAGTCCACTAATCGGTCATGTTGAGGAGACTGAGACACAGGGAGGGGCTTAGCCTACAGGCCTAGTTGCTGTGCCCAACAGTGTGTGGCCTCCCAATAGAGCTGCTGTTGGCAGGGCTCCTTCCCTAAGGTATTTTCATTCATCCATTTCCTTTTGCTTATTAATATTTCACTGACACGAACCATTTTCGATATCCCTAGATTTTATAATGTTCTGTAAGTATGGATTGGGCTCTAGGATGGATTAAGGACAGAAAGAGTATTTTTTTATAACTTACTAATAACAGTAAAATAAACACAGACAGATATCTACTGAGTAGGCTATGGTAAAGCCTCACGGTGAGAACCAATAGTCCTTGCCTCCCTGTTGTCTAGAGGAGCCATTTTAGTCTTGGTGAGTCAATGTCTCCCTGAAAAATAATAGAAACTCCTACTTTTGAGAGATTTTTAAAAATAGTTTGGAAAATTAGTTTCTGGAAAGGCTCCTAAGTTCTAACCAGTCTTCATAGAGGCTTTCTCATAGAGAGGGGCTTGCCTGAGACTCCTCCCTCTGTGTGTGAGAAGGAAAGGATACCACTTTCTCATGTTTCTGGAAACAAAAGAGGAAAAGAGCCCATTGGCTGCATCAGTTCCTTAGTCATCCTTGGGGAGCCCTGACAGGGTGTTTGCAGATGGCAGTTTCCACAGGCCTCAGGGTGGCTGAGGAGGCGGGGGGGTCTGAAACCAGAGGGGCACAGAAGCCATGGCTGTTGGTGTCTCCCGGGATGGCTTAGTGGGTCGGGCAGTAGATGAATGGGGACCAATCACCTACACTGTGAACCTGGAGGAACCCTGCTCCACCCCTGCATCTGCCTGCCTGAGAAGAATACTGTCACGGCAGCAAAGCAAAGCACTCTGGGATTCTAGAGAGAAGGGACTAGAAGACAGTTTTCATGTCTGGTTTTGCTCTGTGAGCCCGTTGCATCATTCACTCCTTGGAAGCAGAGATTGTTCCTTGCAATGTAACCTCTGATGCTTCCAGGTGCCCCTGGTGCAGCAAGGTCTCCGAGAAACACAGGATTCATTTCCTTTGAGATCAAACCTGTATTCCAACTGCGGGAATTTCCCAAACACCATCTTGACAGGTGAGTGTGGGCCGCCCCTCAGCTGCTTCACTATTTTCATTTTGCTGGGTTTTTACAGATTCCATTGTAAGATATTTTAAACAACAACATTAGATAAAGGGAAAAAACGAAAGTCCCCCAGCTCAGCTTTACCTTTTTGAGTTGTAGGTGTCCAGCTCTAGAGACCATGAAGCAGTGAGTCTTTTTTGAAATAGTTAGTTTTAAGTGATCAGCAACTTTTCAAACGGAGAAAGCCTGCAAATAATTGAGATTTGTGGAACTGACTGGAAAGAACGGAGATTCCACAGCAAAACTGGAGGGCTGGGAGTAGTTGGGACGTAGTGATCACTGTCCTGGTTGGGAAGATGACAGGGACAGCATTTGCAGGATGTCATCAGTTGTGCCCTCTTTGTAGCCTGAGGCCCTTACGCCTCCTAATCTGCTCTTGTTGTTCCCTCTCGCTGCTGCTTCCAGAAGACTCGAGTTCCAGTCTGTTTAAAGACCTCAGCAGCGCGCTGGCAGGCATGCCCGAGGTCAGCCTGAACATGGACACTCCGTTTCCATTGGAAGAAGAGCTGCAAATCGAACCCCTTAGCTTGGATGGACTCAACATGTTAAGTGACTCCAGCATGGGCCTGCTTGACCCCTCTGTTGAAGAGACGTTTCGAGCCGACCGACTGTGAACAGAATGGAGTGGAACAGGAGCCTTTGAATCTGAAACAGCTAAAATAGAATGGAATATAATGGAGCTGCACCCCTGGGCTTTAGTTATCTCGGGATTTGGACGCAGAAGGAACCAATTCCTCGGCTCCTGGCTTCCAGACGAGGTCCTGTCCCATACACTGTGGCTTATGCTCACCACAGAGCTGTGCGCTGCCTCTCAGGCCTGTGGTGCAGGTTACGTTGCTGCGGGCAGGCTGCTTCAGAGCTTCCAGTGAGCAGGTCATCACCGTGACCGTCACATCTTTTTCTTGGCCATCGAATTGGTCAGTGTGTTAAAGTAGAAACCATCATGGAATGGAGGCCCCAGGAGCACTGTGCAGTGCTCAAAACCACTGATCTCAGTCAACACTGAAGAGAGGACTTGGCCACAGTGGGTGGCAGTTAGGTCTTCGGAAGTTGGCTCAGCATTGAACAACGGTACCACAGCACCAGCTGCCTTCTCTGATCCAGTTGTTAGAGCTGGGCACCTGCCGGCTGGTGGCAGGGATGTTCGGGGCAAAGTGGAGAGCCACAGCTCTCCCAGATGGCTTCATTCTAACATGAAGAATTGTCACCATGAGTCTAAGAACAGACTTAAGTTCAGCAAGCTAAATGCTAATTTGTTTTCTTTTCCATTTATAATCTCTCTTCTGCTGCTTCAGTTCAACTTTTCCTATGGACAGAAGGAAAAAGATTATTTTATTCAGTTACTTAAAAAAAGTTCCCTGGTAATGGACGAGCCTGAAAGGAAAGAACAGTGCTTCTTCTTGGTGGCCGGGGAAGCAAGAAGGGGGCCTGTAGGTCTCTCTCAGACACATGGCATCCTTTGGATAAGCTCTGGACAAACTCCAGACATGTACAGGCCCCCCTGTCTGCACATCAGCTGGAAGGAATGGCCAGAGGCTTGAATCAGACTCAGCCAGCAGCTGAGCAGCAGCAGAGCCAAGCTCTTTCTCTGTGGAACGGGAGTGATAATATAACTCCACTGGACCATGAGCTCCTTGAGGGCAGGGACTGTGCCTTATTCATCATTGAACCCCTAGTACCAACAGGTGCCTAGCACTGAGCAGGTGCTGTGTAACTGCATGTCGAATGCATGAATGAATGCATGGATGGATGGATGAATGAATGAATCTGCCTGCTGTAAGGCAGTCTAATATTTAGCTATCTACATTCCTTGCCAAATCTTTTCAGAACATTAGCTTTTCTAACACTTGTGCCTGTGGTTGAGCATGCACTTTAATATGCTTTTAACACTAGGTGACCAAATCCACCGTTAGACCAGGTACCTTTCCTCGAGATTATGGTCCAGCACAGGTAGGTGTAGACCGTCTTCTGGTGCGTACAGAATGGCTGAGCAAGCTGAGGCCTCCCCAGTGCTAGGGCCTCAGAGGTCCTGGCAGGCCCCATTTAGAAAGATCTTTCCTCTCAGATCTAAATTGCTTTAAAATAGAGATTCATTCTTTGAGGCGGAAGAAATTCTGTAGTAAAATGAACATCTAATTCGTGAAGCCATCATTAGTCATTAATACCTTAACATAAAATAATATTACCAGATTTCCACCACTGCCTGCCCCCTCTAACTTAGGCTCGGCCAGCCCCTGATCAGAAACTTGACAGGTGGGTTTGAAGGGGGCGGAGGAGACAAGGCCTGCCAGGTACCTCTTGGGAGGGGTCCGGGCAAAATGCGGGCATGGGAGATGAGGCGGGGAGGACAGGAACAGTGAGGAGAGGTGAAAGATGCTAGAACTTTTGCTTGGACAGCCATTGCTCTTCCAGGAGAGACCAGGAGTATCCTTGAAGGTCACTAGGCTATTCCCAGCCTAAAGAAGCATGGCCATACTATGCGGGTCTGAATCTGACACATCTGTGCCTTCTGGCAAGAGGAATCTGTCACAGGATCCTGCGCTGTTAACCTCTCCAGACCTTGTCCCATTCTGCTTCTGTCTTCAGAAGGATTGCCTGCCCTTTGACCTTTCAGCAGCCTTGATGGTATACCACTCCATCTTCTTCTGTGGAACCCAGGTCTTCCCACTTCCTATCAGCTCCCAATCCCCACTGTTGAATTAGGAAATCAAACCAGAGTCCTTGCTGAGCATTGGCTCAGGAAGGGGCAGTCGGCCTCCCCTTCTCAGCTTTATTCCCAGTTGAACGTTCAGGTCCCTTTATACTTGAGATCTCTGTGGTGGGGGGGCTGGGGTGACTTTGTTAAAGTAAAGGGCCTTTCCTCGTAATGGTTCACAGCACCCCAGTGTGCCAGCTCCTTGCTGCCTTTCCTATGTCCAAGGCCCCTGACATTTGGTCTAGGAGTGGTGCTGGTGTTGTAAGAGATTTTTATTAGAAGTGGAGGTCCCAGCATAATGCATTCTTTGCCTAGTGCCTTACCCATGGGGATCATCAGTGTTGGGGTCCCAGCTCTTTTTCTGCAAGGCAGCCTCGCCTTACAACTGGAGCCCCCGAGACCACATGATGATATACACTGCTTGGAGGGCTTTCTCCATGTGATTCATGGACATGGAGGCTTCCAGGAAAAGTGACTTGTTTGGGGGAATATAATGATGACAGTAAGGTTTAGCACTGAATTAAATTTGTCCTTAGGTCCATCAGTCCGATCTTTTCCTGTGAAAAGGTTTTGGGCATTATACAACCTGCTTTGCTTAGATGGTATCAAGGACAACCACGGACAGGTGTCGCTCTGACCTTTGGCGGGTAAGTCTGCACTCACTGCTGCCTTTGCAACAAACCAGGCATGGTCCTTGGCCTCTGAAGTGGCTGCATACTTTAGAATAAACTATTTTCAATATTTAGTTTTGTTACAAGGAATCGATGGCTGTACAACTCTCATTTACTAGCAGTTAAACAGCATAGAATTAAAAACCTATCTGTGTTTCCATTTTTTCTTTCTGTACGGTTGTGGTTTTTAAGATAGAAGGTGTTAGGAGAAAATTTTCTTGATCATATCAAGATGAACATAAACTCTCCTTTGTCCTGTTTCATTTCTCTTATGTCTGCTGTATATTACCTGAGCTGAACTGTTGTGTACTCCAGACTATTTGCATATTTGAAGACATTTCCAATTCTGATTCTCGTTGGCTCTTCTGATTTATGCACAGATGGTTCTGAGGGTGTTTCCATTGCTTCGTGATGGAACCATTACAGCAACTCATCAGACTTCCCGCCAGTGTCCTAACTCCCAGGTCCCCTGTTCAACAATATTTAAAGATTGGAATTTGTATAAAGTAGCTTCCAAGTTTTATAATGCATCATTTTACATCTTTCGTAATTAAAAGCACAATAAGGTTGTATCTGCATTTGGTGTTTTTCTTCAGCCTCGGATGAAATGAATTGGGGGAAAGCCTTTCTCGCCACCTCCTGTGCAGCTCAGCCTGCAGTTAGGAATTTCTGGTCCTTGGCTTGGTGGGTCCTGTACTGACCTGCTTGTCATGCGTCTTTATTACACGTGCTGTTGCATCCATTCGAGAGAAGCTCAGAAAGAAGTAGGGCACGTGGTTCCTTTGAAGCTGTGAGTACCAAGGACAGAGGGCATCCTGGCAGTGCCTCAGTGTTCTGCCTCCCTCGGCAGCGCCCCTCCCAGTCCCCTGCTCCCGCCGCCATCTGAAACCTCCTCGGAGGTTCAGGCCACAGATGCTCCTCCCCACAGTGCTCTGCTGTCTTGTACTGGCCTCAGCCCTCTCCCCCAGCTTGCCAAGGACTTTGGCTCGGTTTTCTGCCCCCGCCCTGCCCCATTGCCCCATGTCCCAGCAGGGTTCGCAAGCCAACAGCCTCACACTTCTCTCAGAGACCCACCTCTTTGGCCACACCCAGGGCTTGTCATAAATGTGACTCTTCATCTGAAATCTTACTCAGAAATTCCATCTCTGACCCTGACCCTGACTTCCTGCCTGGTCCACACACGCTCTTTGACCGCACGGAGAATTCTATCCCTTGTCCTTTCTTCTCTCTTCTCTTGGCTGCCCTTCCTCTCCTGGCTTCCCTCCTTCCCAGGCCTAGTCCATTGGGACAGTGGCCTCTATGACACCCTCACCAGCCCCCCTCCTGCTCTGACTCTCGGCCTCTCCCTATTAGCCCTGCTGGGAAAAGACATCAGTCCCACACTGTCCACTAACCCAGTCTTCTCCTGCCTCCTAGGGGCACGCCAGACCTCACCACAGGGCCCTCATTTCTCTCTGACGTCTAGAAATTCGAGGACGTGGTAGGAGGAGTCAATGTCAACTATTATAAGTGTCATCTGTTGCGTGAATATGCTGTCTTTTTGAAGACAGGATACACAAATCTTTATTTTTTTTGCACAAATATTTAGAATTACTAAATTTATACAATGCTTGCTTTGAAATACCAAACCTTAGATGAGGGTGTTTCTTTAAAATTGATCTTATTTACGTCCAATTTGCCTAATGAATGCCGTACCATTTGCAAGAATGGAAATTAGGGCTTTGCATCAAGGCAGTTGTATGTGACTGTGTCTTGATGTGGACACTAGATGGGGCTGAGACCATAAGAGTGGCTGTTAGGACTCCAGAGCACCAGATAGATCCACCCACTCTCTCACATTTCATTTCGCCTTTGGACTGGGCTGGCACCAGTGTTGGTAGCTTGCATCGTATGATGGCAGAATGTAAACAAGTCTCTCCAGTGACCACTCCACTGTGGATGACCAGGCACTGCACATCACATATCCCTCACCGCAGCTGGAGAGTGAGGCAGGGTGAGGGTGACTTCTTGGGTTTTACAGATGAGGAAGCAGGCCCAAAGAGGCTCAGTCCCCAGGCCGAACGTGGTACACAGGCTCGGCACCCTCATGGCCCGACTCCCAGGATCGGTGCCTCCCCAACCTGCCGGATCTCCGCCCACAGGAAGCCCACCCATGGGATGCAGCATCCCCTTCCCCGAGGCAAAGGGCCGGGCCAAGGAGCGAAGGATTTTTTTCTTTCCCAGAAATGTAATTTTTGTTCAAGAAAAGGCTTTGATTTTATAATAGTAGTATATGCTTATTATAAGAAACTATAACACTGAAGAGTACAAAAAAAGTGTTCAAGTGGTCCAGAGAGCGGTAGAGACATCCTCTATGCATGGATTCAGAGAAAAGGGCACAGGTAGTTGGAAATTCTTATAAGAAAGGACTCATGAATACATGCTCTTTTTGGAAAAAGTATTTAAATTTAACAGAACAAAAAAAGAACCTTAAATGTACCTAAGAAATTGCCGAACTGCAAATAATTGTGCTTCTTAATTATTTTCTAAAAGGAAAGAAAAATATCAAGAGGCTGGATTCACTCTTTAAACCTGTTTCAACTGTAGATGGCATCTCTTGACAGCCTGCGATTTAGGATGAGGAAATGAGCTCACCCACTTCCTACCTCCAGCCCCACTCCCAATGCTGTGAGTTCTTATTTTTACATTGTCAAGGTTCGTACTGTTTGCATCCTGTCCTGTAACCATCCTTCCCAGCATTGTTTGCCCCCAGTTCTGTGTGTGCGTGGATCCCCTTCTCACGGCCAGTCCTTTTAGAATGGGTTTCCCAGTCTTCCATTCCTGAGTTCTTTATTTGACTCACCTCTTGGCTGCCTTGACTCTGTCATCAAGGAGTCTGTTTAAGAAGGGCTGCGTTGGTCACAGCTGCAGGAGCGTGGCTGCTGGGCTGCAAGATTGGAGACCAGAAGCCTGAAATGCAGTCGGATGGGCTATGAAACTGGCTGATTTATGCCCAGTGAAACGAGCAAATCCCCAGTGCAGGGACAAGCACTACACTTTCCAATATGACTCCTTGCTGAAAACTGTCTTGAACTTGTATGTAGTGACACACAGTTGAAGTTTTAGAATTTGAAAATAAAGAAACTGAATGGGGTAAGGGGCCCAGAGAGTGCTGTATTCAAAGAAAGGACATACAGGTATCTAGCTCAGGGGATCTCTATAAGCAGTCCCCCCACTGCTACCCTAAAAACCCCTACCCCGCATTTTATCCCTTGGACAGGGGTTCCCTATCTCATCTTCACTGGGAAAAAGCCAAGATCTAGGTCCAGTGACACCTCCTCATGAAGCCTTTGAGGCTTGGTTTATTGTTTGGCCAAAGGATAAGTATCCCTCTAGGCTCCTTTGCCCTTGGACTCTGCTCTGTGACTTATGTTGGCCAGTGAGATGTTTGGAGATGAGACCTGGAGTTTAGCCTTGGCATGGGCTTGATGACAGAACTCGCCATCTTGGGCTTCTGCCACTGCTGTAGCAAGCACAGCTTCCCCACTGTGTAGCCCACTGGTTCTAGAAGAAGGAATGACAGGGCAGACTTCAACCAAACCCATGCCCAGGAGCCAGTCTAGCCAGGCCAAGCCCCAACTGCAAGGCTGACCCAGTCAGTCTGCAGATACCTGAACCAGAAATAAATGCTTATAACAGTAAGCCATGAATTATGGGGTCATTTGTTATGCAGCATTGTTGTGGCAATAATTGACCGATAGCTTTCTCTGTTCATTTTTTTGTGTGTGTGTTTGAGTTGCATTTTGTTCCCACAGCTTTATTAACTGTAGGCCTAATTTTATTGTAAAGAGTCTGCTTTTCCCCTGACCTATGAGCAATTTGAGGCAAAGACTATGTCTGATTCAATGCTGACTCCCCAGTGCCCAGCTAAACGGTGCCCAATGTCATCCTTTCCATCTGCCCCTTCTCCAGGACAGTCCCGTCTGAGTAGAGAGCCTAAGGCCTCTGCTTCCAAACTTCACCTGCAAGTTTGGACAAGAAGGTTCAAAAGCCCTAAGCTTCAGTCCCCACCACTAGGGAAAACACTCAGGACACCCTTACCTGGGAGCACCACGGACCCCAGTGGCTGCTTTTCTAGCCAAGCAAATATATGAAAACAGGGAGAAGACACCGATAAGTACGTGGACGTGGGAGTAGGGAGAAAACTGAGCTTTTGATCCAAATATAAACAGAGTCTTGGAGTATGGAAACCTCATAGGGCTCCCTTGCAAACTGCCCAAACGCCCAGGGACGATGAGGGCCATCTCACTCACGTAACAGAGACCCACCTAGGAGAATGAGCACCAGAAGCCAGAAATGTGGGACAGTGAGGGGAAGCCGCAGAGTGGGTTTTTCCCAGCTCTGCCCCACAGCCTCTTGCTGTGATAATCTAGGTTCCACCTGGTCTAGTTTCTTTAAAATTTATCATCCAACCAGGATGCTTTTTAGAGTAAAAGGAGGCCCTTTTAATAATTGTGCCAGGACAACAGGCATAAATAAAGATGTATGGTCAGCCTGTGAATAGCAACAAGGCCTAGAGGCAGTCTTGCCAAGTGCGTGGGTTGTGGAGTTACAGAGACCTAGGTTCAAATCTGGCCTCCACCCTTTTTGGTTGTGAAGCTGGGGCAAGTCCATGGCCTCTTCATGTCTCAGTTTCTTTATCTATAAAGTGGGGTGATGAGACCCACCCCATTAGGTTGTACCTGCCCCTAATAAGCACTTCCTGCTAGCATTCTCACTGTTCCTCTCTTTACTGCCTGAATATTTAATATTGCTAGACCTTGGAAACACAACAAAAAGATTTGTTGAGAAGACTAAGCCCGTACTCTGAAAAGAGCACTGAACATAGTTTTCTCAACACACAGAGGGCTCCAGTCTGACCCTCACCCTCCTCTCTAAGGAGCTGGAGTGGCCCACCAGTCTGGCCAGGCACCAGCAGCCATTCTCAGGTCTTCTCCACGCACCAGGTTCTTGGTTCAGGATCCTCAGGCAAACCTCAAATGACCTGCTCAAAGCCTGGCCTTGTAAGTACTGAATCTTCCTTAACTGGTTTCTGCAGGGGCTTCCTTTTCCTCCACCAAGGCCTGCGCACTGCCAGGGGCTGGTTTTACTGGTTACAGGCAAAACCATGCAACCTGGAGGCTACTTGGCCCCTCCCCTCCCGGAAGCCAGGCTGGCACAGACCCCATCCCATGTGATGCTGGCTCAATCCACTCAGCCAATCATATGTTCTCTCCCAGAAATTAAAAGATCGAATGAGAGAGACACAGAGTCTGGGGGTCGTTGAAACTGACCCACATTGGTGGCAGTGCCCTGGAGAGAAGGCTCCCTCCAAGGCCCCTGAGTGGCTACTTTTCGGCCATCAGGAGCCTGGCTGCTCAGCAGCAACTCCAAGTACAAGTGTGGCCCACTCACTTCCTCTTAAGTCTTCTGGATCCAGGAGTTGCCTAGGTAGCTTGCAAAGTCTGAACTTCCCAGGGAGCAGCCTGGCAACTCCAGCAGCTCTGTCTCTGACCCGCTCTAGGGGGCTGGCCTGCCATCTGGACTCCAACCTGCCTTCTCTGTCTCTTTCGGATCAGGTAGTGGCAGTGGGAGCTGGTGAAACGTGTCACTTCTTGTTTTAATTTCTTTCTGAAGATAGATCTCCCTGGCCAACCTCTGGGGAACTTCCAGTGTTACACCATCACATACCTCTTGCTGCTGTAAACAGCGCTTTTTAACCACTTCCCACCCATCCTGAAAGTCAGCACGCCCCACGGCAGGGCCCCGGCAAATACTAGCTCTGTGGAATGTTAATGTGGGATATGCACAGATAGTACTCCTGCAGGCCTGGGTACTGGCTGATTAAACACAGTGACGAGATGTCTTCACCGAAGGACTTCCCAGAGGTTTTAAACGGCTAACCCACTTCCAAGAGGTTGACATGGTGGCCAGTATTTCTCAAGCTTGTTTGCCCCTGAATTCTGTTTGTTGGGACCATCTCGTGAGGCCGATGTTCTGTGAAACACACTGGGAAAGGCATGGAAACAGGTAGGGATGGATGAGGGCCAGAAGCGAGAGAGAATTAGAAACTTTGAAAGGCCCAAATAAGGAGAGTGGAAAGGATGCAGCAAAAACTAAGAAAGAGCACAAGCAAAGGATGAGAGGGCACCCAGAACTTCCAACGTGGAGGACCCAGTATGCCCAGTCTCAGGGAAGAATGAGAGATGCCTCTGACTGAGCCATGAATATTATTATGACGTCTGTTGAGTACCAATATTAATATAAATAAGTGGCTGTGGAAGAAGCCACCTGAGACTTTAATACCAACTGGAGAGGGGGCTGTTGCTTGTAAAGAGCGCCCCCTAGTGGTCTCCCACCACCTTTAGAAACCATTATGGGCACCCAGCCCAAACCATGCTGACCAGCAGCCTCTGGTCTAGAAGTTGATTTTTTTTTTTTCCATTTCGAAAATGTCTGCCTGGTCATCTAGTTTGTGTGAAAGAGAGTGCGGCTCACCAATGTGAGCTTGTTAAAATGTCTTTGGCAACATGATCATTATTTGCAGATGACATAATTCTAGGCCTGAAAGCTTGGAGAAAATCAAATTTAAAACCACAAGAAACAATAAGAGACATCAGTTATATGATTATGTAAGAATTAACGGTGAAGAGATTCAGTCAAGACGGCAGCTTGAGCACTTGCACCAACCACCCGTTCTACCCAGCCCTCTAAACATGGCTGAAAAAAATATGTTTAAAAAAATCTATGATAGGGCTAGCAACTACAAAGGGATAGTTTCATTATCAGAAATTATGAGGAATAAAAGAAAGTGAAAGATAAATAGAAGGGATTGAAATGAAGATAAAAATCTAACATAAATGCTCGAAGAGGACCCCTGTAAAGGGAGGGGCTGGCCCTAGAGGTATGGCCAGTGCAGGGGAGGCAGATGTGGGGGGCAGGAGAGGCCAGGACAGCTGACAAGGCCACTGGTGAGGTGTGGCAAGGGCTTGCTCCTCCTCCATCCCACTGCACTCAGCGGCAGGCAACAGATGGACTAGCAGACAGCGGAGAGATAAGGACAAACTGGGAGGACGCATTTACCACATAGGGGCAGGACACAGGGCTCATTTCCTTCATAAACAATGAGCCTTTTATCAGTAAGATAAAGACCAACAGCCAACAGAAAAACCGGGGTCAAAATACGATCAGGCAGTTCACAGGGGAAAAAATACAAAAAACTGATACCCATATGAAGATTCTGGATCTCACTCATAATTAAAGAAATGCTCATTAAAATGAGATATATCTGGTTCACCTTAAGCAAAGATTTGGAAGGGCTGCCGATGCTCATGGCTCGTGAGGATGCGTGGGAAATAGGGCTCATGTACACTGCTGATGGGATGTAAGTTTGTACGGCCTTCAATTTGACATTTGCTATCAAACAATTATTAAGATACTGGAAGAAAATATAACGTAATATTTTTTATATTCTTGGAGTGGGAAAACCTAACTAAGCAAAACACAAAATCTAGAAACCGTAAATCTAAAAACTACATATTTGACCTCATGAAAATTTTAAACTTCTTTAGGTTTAGAGACCATATCGAAGATAGAAGACCAATGACAGACGATAGGTGCAACATGCATATAACCCTAAAATAGGAAGAGCCCCTTCCTTTCAAAGGATTAAGCTTTGTATACCAATATATAAATAGTCAAAGGATAAGAATAGAGAGTTCACAGGAGAAGAAATTCAAATGGCCCCTGGTTGAGAAATGACACCTATGCTCACTAGGGATCAGAGAAATGCAAATTTAAAAGTCCATACTACCTAGTATTGGCAAGAGGAAAGGAGCGCTCCTGGATCCTGGTAGAGTCTTAACAGGCCGTTGGAAGCACATACGTGGAAAATGTGCAGATGAACTTCTAGGAATCTGTTCTTGGGGAGCACCTGCTCAGCTGCACTTGGGTATGTGAACCAGTACGATCATCACAGAACTGTTCGTATCAGAGAAACACCGGTGATAATCTAAATAATAAGAGAGTTGGAAGAGAAAGGGGAGTTCACTTTTGATATTTTTGAATTGTTGGAACTTTTTAATATTTTTGAATCTATTGCCAAGAAAGGGGAAAAGGCTACATGTCTGATTTCAGGAAATTAGTAGAGTGAGCGGAAAGTCCAGCACCTCCTATCGCTAAATCCCATTAAAATGTCCCTGAAATCGACCCAGATGAATTCTCAGGCATAACAAGAAGGAACACGGAGGTGCATGGCTCCATGTGATCCAACCCCTCCTGCTGGGAGGAGATGAAGAAGTGGATTCCCTTAACACAGCCCCATCCCACATGGCTGAAGAGGCCGATGTGGGTTGGGGATCTGGCCATAACCACACGGAGGAGTGTCGTGGAGGCAGCTCCCGCAGCCAGCCCGTGCCCTGTGCCATATACAGGCTGAGCGCTCTGCACAGTCCAGAGGAGAGAACCAGGCAACAGTCCAATCCTCCAACATCAGGTTCAGAATGAGATCGACCACTCACCTCTATCACCCCAAGTGGGTGTTTACGGTGAGAACACGTAAACCTGAGAACAGCCCGGATTCAGGAAGAGCCATGACCATAGTCAAGTTGGGCTGCAGATCTATGCTCTGTCCTCCTCCAAATAGCTTGAGTGACTCAGCCCTCCCAGCGTGCAGCTTCTCTCTCTGCCTCCACCATTTGGTCTCATTCATGACTCTGTGCCATTACTCCTGCTGACAGTCAAAATACTAAAGCATGGGCACCCGCCAAGCAAAACAGACACCGGCTGTGAACAATGGATAGAGGTAGCAGATTACCCCAAAACTCAGTGCCTATAACAACAAACATTATCTCGCACACTTATGAGACAGGAATCTAGAGCTGCTTAGCTGTGTGGTTCTGGCTCAGGGTCTCTCATGAAGTTGTAGTCAAGATGTCAGTTAGAATCTGGATCATTTGAAGGCTTGACTGGGGTTGGAAGATCCTCTTGCAAGATGTCTCATCACGAGGCCGAGGCCATTGGCAAGAGGCCACCATGCCTCCCCGGCAGGCAGCTTTCCATAGGGCTGCTTGAGTGTCCTCATGACATGCCGTCTGCCTTCCCCAGAGGGAGCAATCCAAGAGAGCAAAGCAGAGTCACTTGAAGATGGACACCACCGTTGGGATGCCTGCTGCTGCTGTAGGATCTTTTATGACCTAGCCTCGACAGTCACACACTGTCATTTCTGCAATATCCTAGTGGTTACACAGATCAGCCACATTGTGTGTGGGAAGGACTACACAAGGATATAAATACCAGTGGGGGCATCAGCTACCACAGGTGCCATATCATCCCCCTAATGGCATCCCACCGCCCTTAGAATGGAATATAAATGCCTGGCCTTGGCCTGCAGGCCTGGCGTGAATCGGCCCCTACCCACTCTCCATTCTCATCACGTCCCTCTTTCTCACGTGCATTCAACTCCAAACACACCAACTTTTCACCTGTCCCTCAACATCCCATGCTCATCCTTTATATTTTTTGTTCCTTTTGCCTAGAAGTCTCCTTACTCAGATCTTTGCGCGGCTGGTTCCTTCTTATCTTTCAGGTCTCAGCTCAAATGTCATCAGACAGCCTTTCCTGACCACCTCATCAAAAAATAGTCCCTACCCCTTCCTGTCACTCTCACATCACCTGGTAGGTTTTTCTCCCACTGTTACAAATGTGTAGACGCCACATGAATGATGATACATAATGACATTTTATGGTTTGCCACATGCTGTCGGCACCGATGTCATGCCACACTTCCCTCGGGGATGCTGTTCACGTCACCGTGTGTTAGCTTCTTCCCAGCACTGACCTCTCTCTGAAATTAGCTTGCTTATTGGATTAGTGCCCTTCTCCCTTCAAGTACCAGTAAGAGCCCTTGCTTATAAGGGCTCCTGTCTCTGGCTGAAGAGGAATAATAGATCAAAGGATATTAGGTGCCTCACAAAATCTCCAGGAAAGCAGAGAACCAGGCTTGGAGGCCATTTGCATTGATCAG